CATTTTTATTTTTTTCTATGTATTATGCTTACATATGTACTTTCACTATACTTACTTCTTACACGATGCTTACACTACATTAACTTGCACTACTTACAATACATATATATTAGTAAGTATTATTATTATTGTAATATATGTATTATAAGTAGTGCAAGTTAATGTAGTGTAAGCATCGTGTAAGAAGTAAGTATAGTGTAAGAACATATGTAAGTATAATATAGAAAAAAATTAAAATTAACAAATAAATAAATAAATATCTGCCCATGGAAAAATAAATAAAAATAAATAAATAAATAAAAGTATTGTGTATTTGGCTTGTTTACCTTTTTCAGCATTTAAACTGACACCAGTGGTTGGTGAGTTAGCAAAGCGGGAATCTGGTCGGCAATTCTCCAATAAAACAAAGAAACCTCTTCCTGATGGGCAGGTGAAATATCTCTCTGTATGAAAAGTCCCATCTGAACATGCAGACTCCTCTTCTTCCTTCAAAGGAAGAAAGTGTAGATAAATGTTGGTGATACAATAATTAATTGAGTGCTAAAAAATAAGCTCTATCATGTGGGTTACCATAATTTTTTTACCCTGTCTAAGCCTGATAAATCTTACTCACCAATTCCAGACCTACTACCAGCTTTTCCTTCACTTGTGGAATATTTCCTATCCAGCGGATGACACCATATCTTCGAACACCATCAGCCATAGGAACCTCTACCATAGATCCAACCTCCAAACCATATTGGTTAACAACTGACATGATGCCATTGCCACCTGCAGGAAAACTTTCACTATTACAACAATTACAGGTCACTAGCCAAATAATGCTTAACCAGTTGCAAACTGTTGACAATTCAAGCCTCATTATAGTTGTGATAGTGGACATGTTGGCCTTAAAGGTTACTGTGCTGGATTCTGGGACAAGCAAGAGGTCTGGGTTTGAGACCTGAGGCCTGTGTCTTGAAGGTCCTAGTAACTAAATGTAAGTGGGCCCAAAAAACTGTTCTGTTTTCATTCAAGATGGGAGTTTCAAAAGTATATAACTGTCAGCTAAAGAAACAAAGTGGACTGGTTAGGATGTCAGAGCCTGCTTCTCTATTCTTTTACTTTTGATTTTAAAATATGGCTTCAAGCCTGGTAAGTTCGCAGGAATTTCAAGAAACAGGCCCCTGGCCCAACATGTTGTGATCTTAGGATAAAAAATGTATAGGTCTAGTCAAGCCTAAAGGCAGAGGCAAGGATGTGGGTTTTTTTTAAGTTTTTTGTTTTCTGTGCACATCTCATTTGTGTTGTTTAGCACCAGGCTCATTGGTAATGGGTGACCATGACTGCTTAAAAAAGATGAAAATTACAATGTTCAAGAAATTCGAGACTTTGTAAACCAACCCTTAATACAGGTTTGACTGTGGTAACAAATCAGCACTGAATATACATTTAATTAATTCCAAAAATTAACAAAAATATAAATTGAGTACCAACCAGTTCCGATGTTAACTGCCAAATCACCTCTAGGCAATGTGGATGTATGTGAGTGTGCATATGGCTTTTCTGAAGGGTCTTTGGAAGACATTCCCTTTTCCACATCCACTTCCATAGCTTCTTCAATTTCACTTGACTTTCTATCCGAGACATATTTGGCTGTTACCACAGATCCATTAGTCCTATGTGCTCCTTGCTCTAACTGCTTCACTTCATCTTTAGATTTTGGTGATCGGTGAGGAGTTAAATGCATGGCAGGTTGTACATGTTCCTTACATTCTTCTGTCCAAGGAAATCATTATAAGAAATTATGGTCATCTGAAATGGATACTTCCTTTTCAACTTAAAAGTATCTTCTCCCTAAAGGACATTATTTATCCCATATTTTTACACTAAGAGGATAAAACAAACAGCATGCCAAATGAGGTTGATTTGCATTTCCTTTGCTTAAGAATTCTAAGATTAAAGTATGTGTACATGAAGGTTGATATTGTCTAGTCATAAATGAATCTTAAACTATAATATACTCATAATTTATTGAGGAATAACACTTAGGGTGATTCCTCAGTAATGTACTACACAATTCCTATACTGCGCATAAAAATAATGTGTAATCAGGTAAATGAGTGTGCCTGCATTCCGAGAACACAATATTGTTTTCTAATCAATGGACCAGGTAAAAAGGTACAATGGTCTTCAGTTCATGAACCAGTAGGTTGACCTATATTTTTAACTACATAGTTTTGGTGAAGAAATTACCCCCTTGGAAAAGCACAGATAAAAAAAATTCATCGAAGGGAAAAAAGATTCAGCTAAACACATGCACTAAGCCCATTACTCAATGATGCAAATTATGACCCTGAAAGCAATGACTTGAGGAGCACTTAGAGCCAATGTCATTTAAAATTGAGTGATTTTTCCACAAATGATGTGTCAAAATTGCTCTATATTACCCTAGAGACTTTCTACCAATCAAATGTTTTTTTCTTTTTTTTAAGTGTTATTTTCTAAACCCTTGCTTTCAGGCACCACAAGATGTACCATGTATCAATGAAATAATGCACACCATTAGTTCCAGTACTGGCATTAATGGGGTAAGTTATGCCCATCATATCTCTTAAACAAGCACAGTGTCCCATCTTTTTTATTGTATTATTTGAAACAGACATTGGTAGGGAACATTTAAGGAAAGTTTAAAAAAACTGGTCTATAACTTTTTTTTCTGAGGAATTACCTTAATTTATAATAAAGTTCAGATATAACACGCACTGTCATTGGTTGAAAGAGCATGCTCTATGAGGGTATAGAGCATAGAACTGAGCTAAAGCTGTCACGCCATCTGCCAAATTGTACTATCTTCGACCTTTTCCGGGACTTCTTTTAAGCTTTTTTCCGATAATTGAAAGTGAAATTTTGGAACAAGCAAGCTGGCAAGTAGCAACAGAAGAACCAAACAAAGGTTTGTAAACATATCAGGTGCCGTAATTTACATTATTAAAACATGAGCAGATACGAAAATCCTCAAAAGGAAAAACAAAATAGACATTCCGAGTTTTAAAGATTTTCACACTCAGTTAGATTGCAAGCTTACGTACGGTAATAAAAATCAAACATAGTTAACACTCGTATAGTATATAGAGTTCAGAGTTCAAAAACAAAACAGAACAAAACAGAAATTATGAAAAATATAATCAAACTGACAAAACTGTTAAAATTCATACTAATCATGACGGTGTCTTAGCACGGCGGTCTCCGGTCATTACAATAAAGTAAGCCTCAGAAACTACATCAGCCAGCCTTCAAGTGAAAAAATAAGAGCTCGATCTGATATTCTTTCCAATACGTTGAGTAGAAAGTCCCTTCAGTCACTGCAACCGAGTTTTGTGGCGCTGTCATCCCGAGCGATCTTCATGTTCCAGTGAATTCGGCTGTCGTTCATTTAAAAAACACTCGCCTTGAACAGTTTGTTTTCTACCTTGTCATGTGAAAAAACTTGTCTGTTTTTTATGAGCCATAATTCAGCTGAATTTCACTGAACATTTCACTTGAAGATTCTGTATTAAAGACTTCAGGCAAAAGCGTTAAAATCGACCTGCCGAACTATTTTAGTTTGTAAACTATCACAGATTGTGAACTTTGATGGTTTGACACTTTTGACAGCTTTTGTCTTGTAGAGCCAATCAGATTATTTGAGCCATTCTAACAGGGATTCTGATTGGCTTATTGTAACTTGCTCTATGAGAGAATAGAGCATGCTGACGACACTGTTGTTCACTTTGGAAATAAAGTTTGTTTTGAAAATTGAAAGTAATGCATGGGGAATTTGACGGATTCTTTATTATAAAACTCAAGAAGTGGACTACGTCTCGTGTTTCTCCCTACACTTCTCTCGTGCTCTAGCTGCTTCCTGCGTGCTTTATAACAGAACAGAGCACAGTCAAGGCTTCTCTATTTGTTAAGTTAACTTGCTACCAACAATAGGACACTTATGGTTATGAGGACAGTGGTTCTAAAATAATGTAACTTATGAATTGATGTCTATGAGGAAACAGACTAACTGAACAGGTTCTCCATTGGAGAGTGAACAAATTATTTCCAGTGACAATAAACCCTAAATTTCCTTATCTTTGTAGACACTGTGTTTGAGAATTAATTCAAAAGTTAGCATGGCTTGAAAATTTTGAAATTGGTAATGAGATAGGATGCAGTAAGTATATTTCAAGTTTTTCCAACATTTCAAAATGGTTCTGCATGTAACATTGCTTTAATAGGGGGTCAAGTTGTTAAATTAGTATAAGTCAGTAATTCTGTTGCATGTGCTGACACAAAATGGAGAGTATGAATCTGTGGATGCAGTGTTGATTGGTAGTTCATCATTAGTATTTGAGTTCCATTTAATTTATATGAATCTATGCCAAAAATGGACTATAAATAAGACAACAACTGTAGATCTTAGAGGCATTTAGGTGATATGAAGGTCCAGTAATTATAATTTCTTGTCTCAAAATCAAAGTGATGTTGTTTGTAGATTTTGTGTTAATTAATGTCATATAGTCAATATTGTTTTGTGTTATGATCAGTGTGTAAGAACAAAGCAAACATAATTATATTTCTCAATAATATGAATGTACAGTTTTTCAAATGGGATTTTTGTGTAAAAAGCTGTATAGTATCATGTACTTCACACTTACCCTGTCTTTTGGATTTTATAATCAAGGTTTCACTGCCATCCTTTTCAATGTTTACGAAGCCATCATATTCCTGAGTAGTGTTTTGATAGTTAAAATTGGTATAATTACAGTCACCATTTGACAAACCAGGCTGCACTGTAATTATCTTATTCCCATCATTAACAGACCTGTCTTGGAGAGTGTTTTTAAAATGATCTTCTTTAAAATGAAAATTTTCAGCACTGTCTGTCCTTTCTTCATCATGCATGTTGACATCATTTACTTGATTGTCAGGTAGGTTTTTACCCTCAAACTCCTTGAGCATTTGACGTTGTTTCTCCATAAAATCCTGTAGATTGGTTTTGCTGGATTCTCCAGCTGCCATTATGAGTTCTGTTTCAGCTGAGGTCATTGAATTTGTTCTTCTTAGTTTTCTGACAGATTCCGTACTAGCACCTAAGATAAAGATACAAAATGAATCCACTATGTTTACCTCACCACAATGCTTCAAGTTATCTGTTCTAGACACTACAATGATAAAAGTATCTCTAGATGCCTTTCCAATTTCCAAATGAATGATGGATTAGCCAACCATGTACCAGGTCCTCAAGTGGCAAGTTCTGTGGTGGCTCGACCTTTATTGCTATTGTAAGAAATGTAGAGCCAAAAAAAATGTTGCAAATTCTTCTTAAGTTGTATGTTTGCAAACTTTTTTTCTTTCCATGGGCTGACGAGATCACTGATCTGTGTGGGAATGTGAAAATGACAGTAGGCATGCAGCAAGGTACAAACCTTTTAATTTGAATTCATGAGTTTGTACTGAAGTCTGTGATAAGTTGTTACACCTTTCCTTTTATCCTGATAAAAGGAGACCTTTTGGAGCTCAAATAAATACTGTATATTCCAAGGAATACTGCAATAATAGTTCCAAAAATAATGGAGACTCAAAGTGACCTTACTATGTGATGCAGGGGTTATACTGTTGGGAGAAATAAGAGGGTAGTCACTCTTAGGGGTTAAAGGGATAATTATTTAACTTTCAAAATTTTCAACACTATGCTGCGTGATTTTATTAGCCTAAAGTGATGGAAACAACCTTTCCAACATGGTGAATTAATCCAAACAATAAATTTTAGCACTTTTTTGAATAATGAGATATTTCTCCGTCATTTTGCCTTGTATTTAATTTATGGCTTCCAGTAGCACAAGATTAACTGGTAGCCCTAACAACTGCTTTCCATTAGACCTTTAACTCCCAAGATCTGATTGTTAATTCTCCACTCAAGCTGCTATACATTTCCCAGTAAATTAGTTATGAGAACTTGGTGCTATATCAAGATAGCAGCTTCTACCTGATAAGTTTGAATATTCTCATCACCTGTTTGCTGAATAATGTATGGATATTGTAAGGAGAAGTTTTATGTCAATCACTTCTGGGAGTTAAAGGGTTAAAAATTGGGCAAAAAAGAGAAAATCAGGTGGGATTTCTCCTTAAGAAAATGCTAATACAACTGTAATGGATGCTGAAAACATCACAAACAAAACATTTTACTGTGAAACATAATTAAAACACATCTATAAATTGTTTTTAACCTACAGGATATCTTCAGTTGTGAATATGTTCCCCTTGGCCCATCATGGAGTGAAAGAAGGTTTGCAACCATACACTTTTTAACACATTTATGAAGCTTTTTCATACTCTATAACTGAAAAAACTAAGATTACGCAAAACGGAATGGAACAGAAGGTGTATGACAACTCAATGAACCCACGAATTGGAAATAAAAGGTTTTGTAACAATTTTGTACCTTTCAAAAGTCTACAATCACTTACACATCCCCACACAGATCAATGATTTCCGTGGAAAGAAAAAAGGTATGCAAACATCCAACCTTAGAAGAATTTGCAACACTCTTTTATGCTCTGCATCTCACATAACAACAACAAAGATCAAGGCTGCACAAAATAACATGCCCCTAAAGGGGCCTGGTACAAGGTTGGTCATCCTAGCACTCATTCTGGCCCCAGCAATAGCAAAGTTACATGTTAATCTGTCACACACCATTCATACTAATAATTTTACCTGGAAAAGACCTGAAAATTAAGAAAAAAGGCACCTAAGGACACCATGTCACCATACACCTAAAGCTTGAGTGTTTCAAAATTTCCAAGGCAAAAATTACATATTTCATTTAAACACACTTTTTTTTAGCCAGAAGAACAATTTCTCAGCATCTAAATGCTTTAAGGGAACTGAATGAAAGAGACATCAGTTTACAGATTACAATTTTCTGCTTCATTATGCCTGGTGTGCTTGACTAAGTGAAACAAAAATTTATGAAGCAACTGAGATATCAAATCATTTGTCTACCTGATGGTACATTAACACAGCTCATTGATCTTGCATACATTTCATCTTCATGAATTTGCTCCCGCTTTCCCTGAGCTTCTTGTCTCACAGCTTTTTCAGGATAACCATCAAAGTCCTTCTCTGGTATGACAGTTTTCAATGTTACAAATGCTGCATGATCTCTCTTACAAACAAATTTTAGAGAGCCCAATCTTTTACCACAGCCAGCACCCACTCTTTCATCCTGATAGACATAAGAAAGTTGAAATATAATGGCTTACTAGATGACTCATTTCATTTGATCAATTTATTGCAATTTATCTACATATCTTTGATTTACAACAAAAAAAAAAAGGAAAATTTTTAACATAAGGAAATTTTCTACTTTCAACATTTTTTCTACCACAGCTGTTTGTCTTAAATGTATTTTTTTTTTTGGAAATTGTAATAATTAATATTAATAAGTAACAGGACTTTGTGTTGTCCGATTCTGTCTATAATTATACTCAAGATTGACAAATCTGACTTCAGCTTCGCAACTGTCTGATTTTGAATGACTACAGACCAAATTGGACCTCACACTCCTATTACCATTATTTATCGGTCAGCTGTAGATTTGTCAACTCACTTTTGAGCAGTACTCTATATCCACAAAGAAATGTATAACTAAGTCAAAGGTTAAGATTACCTACCAGTTCTAGTCCAACAATTATTTGAACATTTCCAGTTGAATCCTCCTCCTCACCAATATATCGCACAGTACCTCTAGTTGGACTATCCTTGATAAATGTCACAACTCTGTCATCAATCTTAAGCACTCCATCAATTCCTTGAAATGACCTTTGCTCTTGTTTTCCCTTCCAAAATGACAGTATTGAATCCTTAAGACTTGATTTAAGCTTAGCCTGAATATGTTCATCTTTTTTTGTAATTTTTGAAGATTTCAAATCATCTTCACCTTCTCTAGCTGTCAATTTGTCCAGTCCAACAAAAACCCCAGAGTCGTGCTCACAGCTAAAGTATCGCTGGTTTCTAAATGTTCCATCACATGTTCCTGACCCAGGATGTTTCTAGATATGTTAAACCACAGATCACAATCATTAATATTGAAGATAATTGTCATCAATAACCATCATTATGACTTTCATCATTATCATCATCATTATCACCACCATGGTTGCCATCATAATCAATGAAAACATTTCATCCTATACTGACTGTTCAGCATCCAGTTTACAACATACATGTACACCATACTATCAAGAAAGCAGGATTATAGACTTAAATTTAACCCAATAACTTAAAAACTTAACCCAATAAGAATTTTGTTTTGAATTGTTTTTGTTCTTTATAAAAAACACATACAAAGGAATCGACAACATTGTTTACTTTGAAGTTATAAATCCTGGAAAGGAAGGCCATGTCACATGAAGTTGTCCACATTAGTATATCAAGAAAGGTGAATTTTAAAAACTATACCCAGGCGCATCAAAACTTGAGCCTACAACGAAAACGAAATCAAATTAGAGTGAATAAAGCATTTAAATCTTCCCTTCAGCCTAGGAGTCTTCTAGGAGGGTAGACATTGAAAAAAAGATTCTAAGAGTTGAATTCAACTTCACTAAGTCTGAGAAGGTTAACTGAAATACTAACCAAATGAAAAAGCCAGCTTAACTCGGTGTGACATGTTATCTTCATGATAATTTCGTGAAATCTGTTCTGCTGCCGTCTTACATAATGTAAATTGTTACAGCCAACAACACGACTTTACTAGTGCACGAGTACTTACGATGAGTTCAACTCCGAACCAAGTTCCCAGATAGGGTGGTAATACACCTTTGTACCAAACAACACCAGGCAAAAACTTTGAAAATCCTTTCACCTCAACGAAAACAGCACTTCCTTGTGACAGTTGTCGGCCAAATGCCAGACGTTTCCTATCTGTATACGTTTCGTATCTTTTTCCAGATGAAGTAATCGCTAAAAGCAAGCTGCTTTCTTCCTCAGATAGTCGAGTCATATCCTCCATAGGACATTCAAGACGTAATGATTTACGTTCAATTCCAACAACAGCAACTTTAGTTGAGTCTGTGGGCTGATCAGCCTCAGGAACACCTTCTAATATCTCGCCTCGCAAAACTTGCAAAGGTGTAGACTTCGTGGTAAGGCCAAGCGACAAAAAGTTTTTCTCAACTGTGTGTCCGACACGATCACGTAGAAGAATATACTTAAAACTTAGTTCTTCCATTTCGTGCCGAGGATACAGGAACGATGATTTCACCTTCACTGTAAACAAACCATGCATTGATCGCAATGAAAAGGGAGGAAGAACGCCATTATTAAGGGAATTTCCCTAGCCTCGATGTTATGAAGAATAGGTACGAGCTATTTTTAAACATTACGTCATCTTCTAAGAAAGTTTGGTCTTCGCACGTGCCTCTTCTTATTTCCAGTGATAATGGTTTTATGTGGTCTGTACCTAATTTCGATTTCTAACGAATACCTTTGGATCATTCTACACCAATACGTCAACTAATTATTAAAAGAAAGTTCATTTTGAGTCAAGGCCAAAAATCATCACTCGTGGGTGGATTGCAGAACCAGCGCGTCACAACTATTTATCTTTATTCTGCAGCATCATCATTGCTTTCAAATTTTCAAATCAGGTCACAAATATTTCAAACTATTTTCATTTTCCAAACAATTTTCATTTTTCCCATGTTCAAGACTGTTTTCTACACATTTTGGGTTCCAAGCCGCGGAGAACTGGGTTCCCTTTTACAAGTCCTTCCTGGTTTCCTTATGAAATACAGTTGAACCCCGCTAATTCGAATACCTGAGAATCCGGAAATGGAAAATGGTTCGAGTTACCGGGGATTTGAGGCCTGTCCCGATTGTGCTCAGCAACTTTTGAGCAACTCTTGGTGTTTGGGGCAACTTTTTGCAGTTCTAGCAACCAAGTGAAATTTTTGCCTTTCCGATCAATTACATATTTAGTGCACTGATCAAGCACGAAATAGTCAACGATTTCAAAGAAAACTTCACTTTCTTCGAATTTCTTGAATGTTATTCAGCCTTTCGAACACAGCCTGTCACTTGACCACGTCTCGCTGACCCACTGAGATCCTTATCTGTCGTCCGTGCCCGGGGTTGAAGAATTTTACCCTTGCCTGGGTGGGGTGGGGGAATTTGAACCGGAACTGTCAAGTCTTTGCAACGAGAGACAAGTGTTTTATTTTTTAATATGGACGTGTTCAAAGGCACATATACGAAGATGGCTCAGAAGTTAACGTTTTTTAGAAAGTTACGAGCCTCTAAACGGTGGAAGTTGAGAGGTTTTTTTAAAATCTTTGAGATTAAATGCATTTATTTGCACCCTAAACTTGTAGAGAAAACTCAATGACATTAACCAATCTCATAAGTTAAATAAAATAAAGTAACAGGTGCCTTTGTTCATGGGGAATAATGGCTTTACAAAGTTGATACAGCAATCTAAACAACATATACAACTGTACAACTTTTCCTGCCATTTTATCCTGTGTGTCTACATTTAAGTCTTATCCTAAACAACTAATATAAATGAAAATAAAATCAGCGTGTTTTGCACACCTTCACAACTAGAGCGTTTCATAAATTTATAAAACGCTTGGTTTATGCGGGGTTGAGCGTTCATCGAGATATAAAGCCCGTAGAAAGTATGGGACGCACTCAAGAAGACAAAGTCGTTCTGGGCTTTGCCTCAAGCAACTTTATTCATCTTTTGTGCTCCCCAAACTACCTACTGGCTTTACAACTCGATGAATACATACTGACGCAAGAACCAGTCACACGATACATACATAAACTTTATTTATTTATTTATTTATTTAGCTAATGCCTTCGTGCTAGATATAATAAAATACCACGAAAATACAAAATTTAATAAGAATATAAGATTTACATACCTATCAAATAATACATTAATGAAGAAAGAGGAGTAAACGTGATTCTCAGATGAGAAATTTATCGATACTTTGCACGGTTTGCGATCAGGAGAACATTTTCCCATAAACTCCCTCGTTATCATTTCTATTTAATTTTTTTCTGTGGACTTCTGAAAAGCACGTTTTGTTCAAAAAAGCACCATGTGACCAATGTGTTATCTAAATGAAACGCATTAAAGCCTTATTTCTATATGAATTTTCTATTTTAGAAGGACCTGGAGTGTGATCCTAAGGTCAGTCTTCTGAAAAAGAACCTGCTCCGAGATTTTTGTCAAACTTTACCCATTGGTTATTTGCCTTGTAGAAATGTAAATTTTGAAATAAAAAAATACAGTTCCCAGTTTTCGTTTAGGCGCTGCATAACCTCAGTAGTGTACATATCATATGATTACTAAAATATATTGAAAGTAATAGTTACCAGATCTTACTACATTCGCGTTTCTAAAATTGAATTCCTTTTCCTGCACAGATAATTCGTTATTTTACGGAAAGATAATGCGTACCCAACACCAAGAGAGAGAAAAAATGATAGATCAACCTCCTCGTTTGAAGAAAGTTACAATTTACCTCTCTTGTGAGCACCGAGCACAAAGAAAAAGTCACCATTTTTTAATCTGCGCGCAATTGTGAAATCATGCGCAGTAAGGATGTCCCATGCAATATTACGAATGACCTTAAAAGTGCAAGGTATACGTAACATGCATTATAGAAATCAAACCAATCGCACTCCAATCAGATTCAAAGACGTGTCAAAAATGGTTCAGCTAGAACTGGGGAATATAAAATGACATCCCCCTAATTTCAAACCTTACCAAAAAGACGACAAGGGTCTTTGTTTAAGATTAAAATCAAAGTGGGAGGGCGTTTTGCAGAACTGAGCTACAAAAAAATCATAAAACTTATCTGTTCATAAACTATTTCAACATAACACTTAAAGGACAGCCTCCCACGTAGTAAATGCTTTTAGTTGACGATACTCCTATCATTTTCCATTCCTTTGGAATCTCATGCCTTTCTCCCATTCTGAATGATAAAATTAATATTTGAAACTTATCAATCTAATCATGTCTTATGATTTTCAGGGGGGGGGGGCGGAATGCACAAAAGATGTCCTTCAGTAGCATACGCACTATTACAATTACATTGGTAATAGCAGAATTACGTTAATTCTGTTAAAAGCAAAACCGACCAAACCTGTTTTAAACAGGTTCCTCAAGTTCATCAATGATCTCCTGTATGCTTGGTCTCGCCTCGGGCTCTGATTGCAAACATCCCCGGATAAGGGCTCGATTCAATTTGTTTTTAACCATGGCGACTTGCCGATCACGCCTTATTGGATCAGGCAATTCCCGGATGCACATCTCACAGAGGAGGACACCAAAACTGTACACATCAACCTGAACAAGATAAAGGACGAAAATGAGAGGTAATACAGCACTGCACTAAAGTTTCTTACGTCGAACGAGTCAAAATGTCTCGATCCATTTCTATCTCGAGATAAGCGATAACACTTGATTATATAGACCCCATAGCAGACTCGATTAGTATTCCTTTGTATTCAAGTAGATTAGCCCAACTAGCATTATCAGTATGTCTTAGGAACAATAAAAACCTTACCTCAAAGATCAGACTAGTTAGGCTAATATACATGAGTACAGTATAATACCAATCCGGCCTGTCATTTACGCATACTGTCTATTTTATGTCAACAAAATTAAAAAACCCTGACCTTCTAGCGATATTAACAAAATAAATATTAATGTCCGTTACCTTGAGTTTAAGGTGATTCATACAATTACATGCACGTGAAATGCACACTTATATACAATAAACAAATTACAGCTAACCTTGACGGTTTGATTTTTGGTAAGTGCTTCAGGAGCACTGTATATCATGGCACCAGGAGCAACTGTCATGGTCTGCTGCATAAAGTTGGCAGTTCCATAATCTGACACTTTGCCTCGCCAATGTTCGCCCTGTCGCCAAAGTAGCACATTTGCACTGCTGATGTCGCGGTGAATAATGGGAGATGGTTGCTTTTGGTGAAGGTAGTTTAGCGCCCGAGCTACATCCAGGGAAATAAAAGACATTTCAGCCTCAGAAAGAGCTCTCTGTTCCAACAGAGCGCGTAAACTTGTTTCCATCAGCTCTGTTACAAACAATGGATTCCCTTCGTCATTTGTAGCTCCGATGAACTGCAGCAAGCAAGGGTGGCGGCATCTTGATGCAATATCCATTTCTAGCTCAAATAATTTGCGGTTGTGAGGAGAGAGAATCAACTCATGGATCTGTTTCACTGCAACAGAACAACCACAATATTTGCCTTCGATAACACTTCCCCAGCCTCCTCTGCCAAGAAATCTACCTATTAGCTGAATGTGATCCCGTGAAATAACCCAATCAGGAGACTGTTGTCGTTGATATTCACGTAACTCATCCTGAGCTGTAGACAGAGTTGTTTCCAATTCATTCATTTCCTGGTCTTTTTCCTCCAGTTGTTGCCTTAGGGCAGTAGCTTGATTCTGTAAATTAGCAGTTTCTTCATTTTTTTCTTGTAGCTGCCCTCGGACAATCGTCATTTGCTGAGTTACATCTCTCAGTTGTCGTTGATGTTCACGTAACTCATCCTGAGCTGTAGACAGAGTTGTTTCCAATTCATTCATTTCCTGGTCTTTTTCCTCCAGTTGTTGCCTTAGGGCAGTAGCTTGATTCTGTAAATTAGCAGTTTCTTCATTTTTTTCTTGTAGCTGCCCTCGGATAATCGTCATTTGCTGAGTTACATCTCTCAGTTGTCGTTGATGTTCACGTAACTCATCCTGAGCTGTGGACAGAGTTGTTTCCAATTCATTCATTTCCTGGCCTTTTTCCTCCAGTTGTTGCCTTAGGGCAGTAACTTGATTCTGTAAATTAGCAGTTTCTTCATTTTTTTCTTGTAGCTGCCCTTGGACAATCGTCATTTGCTGGGTTACATCTCGCATTTGTTCCTTACTCTCCTGTGCTTGTCCACGCAGGTTTGTCAGCTGCTGCTCTATCTCAGCCGATTGTTTCCTTGAAGTTTCTTCAAGTTGTTCTTTTTTCTTTAGCTTTTCATGTAAGCTGGTCTCTCTCAACTCTTTCTCTCGTAGTTCTGCTTGCAAATGTGTCACCTGTTCCTCCAGTTCTCTCACCAGCCTGTGAACGTTTCCTCCTCGTTCATTTTCCTCCTTAAGTCGCCTGTCTGTTTACAAGAGGAGAAATCCGTCTTCAATTTTTTTGTTAGTTTAAGAGCAAAATGAGGAACCTGTGCCAAGCCGGAAGTGAAAATATATACTTTTATTCAACTGGAAACTGGAATAAGCTCCCGCTAAGTGGGCTACTTGGCTTGAGTACAGACTTTACCTTTACCGTTACAGTTGTGATAAACTTTCACATAAAAAAGCCACACCTACATCCTCCTACACCCTCTAACGCTTTACAAGCTTAAGTAAAATTTTCACTTCGAGTAAAAATGTATAGGTCTAGTCAAGCCTATAGGCAGAGTCCAAATTGTGTTTTTATTTTCTGTGCACATCTCATTTGTGTTGTTCAGCCTTGTAAGAGTGGGTCCCCTCTTGGATTAGTTCCTTACAGCTCTGTGTTGTGTATTTTCTCTATTCTTCAAATTTATTTTAGCAGTAGCTGAGAAACATATCAATACTTGACAAAAATAAAAAGTATTTTGCCAGGTCCTCTTGTATCCTTTGACTTGAGAATATCAAAGGGAAAATAAAATATGCTGAATAGGGGAGAAAAATATGAGCCTAAATGCTCTGTAAACTGAATCATCTTCTGTGTCTTTGCATTTCGTGATAAATAAGCAGCCTGATGGCTGCAATACACAATTCAAAATTGCTAAACTAAAAAGACTCGTAGTAAATAGGTTGATTCTGAAGACGACTTGAGGCATCTCTTGATGCTTCCTTATTAGAGGGAGTCAGTCACCGGCAACACTACAGTACATACATTTCCATTGAAAATTTTACAACAGCATTATACAATTGAACCTGTATTAAGCGGTCACCAACAGGGAATAGCAGGGTGACCACTTAATACGGGTTGACCACTAGATACAGGTTCCACAGAAAAAGGGTTTTGTACAATTCTCCATTTCATTCAACAATTGACCACTGATTCTACGAGAACTTGCTCAAAAATACTACTAATTGTTTTAACGAAGGTAAACATGGTTTAAATTTTTCTTGAAAGATTATTCTTAGTTTTATTTGAGTGGTCCCACTTTAAGTGACCATTCAACACAGGTAGGAAGCAATACAAACAGGCCGTTGGGACTCAAGTAAAGGGTGACCACAACTGCTTAAAAAAGATGAAAATCACAATGTTAAAGAATTTCGAGACTGAAAACTAGCCCTTTGACTATGGTTACAAATCAGTATTGAATATACATTTGATTAATTCCAAAAATTAACAAAAATATACTGAGTACCAACCGGTTCCATTATTAATTGCCAAATCATTTCGGGGTAATGTGGATGCATGGGAGTGCGCATACGGCTTTTCTGAAGGGTCTTTGGAAGACATTTCCTTTACCATATCCACTTCCACAGCTTCTGCAGTTTCACTTGACCTTCTATCCGGGACAAATTTGGCTGTTACCACAGATCCATTAGTCCTATGTGCTCCTTGCCCTAACTGCTTCACTTCATCTTTAGATTTTGGCGAAAGGCGAGAAGTTAAATGCGTGGTAGGTCGTACACGTTCCTTAGATTCTTCTGTCCAAAGAAATTATTATAGGAAATTATGATTATCTGAAATGGATACTTCTTTTTTTAGCTTAAAAGTTTCTTCTACCTATAGACATTATCTATCCCTTATTTTCACTCTAAGAGGATAAAACAAAAAGCATGCTACGTGGAGTTGATTTGCATATTCCTCTGTTTAACTGTCACGTACCTAATGCAGTGGACACGGGGTGTTGTGCACTGGAGTTCGGGGAGTGTCAACAACAGTGTAGGAATCGACAACACAAGTTGATTTAACAACGTTTAATGCTATCGTCTGAATATCATACACATACGGTGTAAAATAAAAGGGGAAATTGCAATGTACAAGATTAAAAAATGGGCTGAGGCTAATTTCAAAAGAAGCGGAATCGAAAGGAAAACAAAACTAAATACAATAGGCTGGAACTCACGTCTGATTCTGTCTTTAAGGGCTTAGAGAAACTGCAACGTTCCGTTACTTGAAAAATCTTATGTTAAAAAAACTCTGATCTAACTCCGTAGATCTCCTAACTTCAACTGCCTCGATACTTATGGGGCCTACTACTGTAAGGGTATAATTCACGTGTAATTGTACACTGGATTGTCAGGAATGCTAGCCAAGTTAGTAATTCAAATTGTGAACTACAGTATCTGGAAAATGGGGGCGTAAACTCGAAAAGGAAACAAAACAGAACTCTTTCTACTTTAAATAAAAAAAAAGGTAATTAAGTAATTGAAGTCCTCTTTGAATGTTCATTGCATTAATCTTTTTACTCCCAAGATCTGATTGTTAATTTTCCCCTCTAGGAACTACACATTTCCCTGTAAATTTACTTGGAGAATTTGGCATTTGATCAAGATAAAAACATCCACCTGATAAGTTTGAGTATTCTTTAAGCTAAAAGAAGGAATTAAGATGAACAAGAAAGCGTAAACTGTTTTGTAATTTACTCTTTTCAAAGGCTGACTATTAATAAAAGTACTTCCAGGTTTTTGGCTTCTGTGGCCATTGATAAAAGAAGTTGAGTTACAACCGAATCAGATAATCCATCGATGCTCTTCAGACAATGAAAAATCTCATGGATACAATTGACCAGAGGATCTCTACCATTGATCCAACTTCAAGACCATTAAGATTATCATCTCTTAATTTATCATTCTTCCTACCTAAAAATGAATCAAACCCAGCAGCTTTAAGTTATCCATCATCACTTGCTCTTAGTAAGTAAGTAAATTGGGTGGCAATTGCAGCAACATCCAACTGGATGTTTATCTGCGTCTACTCAGACTGCTCTTAAACAGAGCACCTTCATGTAAGTGGTTAGACGCCTCCGTTGTACACGTGCCCTTAAGTCACTTAAAGGATTGTGTCTGATTAGAACGTACATGGGGCACTTTAGCTCAGTAGTACATACCATCCAATGATCCGGTCACCTCTGTCATGATATTAGTCGTAGGTCCTATATGTTCCCTCAAGGTTTTAATTATAACCTCGGCCTGAAGAGCAAAAACGTTATGCAATATACAAAAAGCTCGCAACTCATCGAGACATGTACTTGCGAGTCTTGAAGTTGTAACCTGTATAACAAACGAAGGGTGTTTGTCTGAAGTAAAACATTTTACCTCTAAGACAAGGGGTAAAACTGCACAAAAAAAAATTGGTTAGTAACGTCATTTCAAAAATGGCCGATACGTTTGCAACAGTTTACCCAGGTAATCATCCTCAATCATCAAAGAGAAAAGTGTAACTAAGAACGTACGAAACTTTCATTCTCAAATGTTTATGCGCTGAAAATAGATCTGTCTGATCTGGGTATCACATAGAATAACTTTCCTTCGGTAGAACTTTGGCAAAGGAAGATAACTTTTTGGGGCTCAAATGTAATGACATCACAAAAAATTGTCTCTTTACTTCTGAAATTACAGTGTCTGTACTTATTCTGGTCGGTCCACAGCCTTTCTTTCTTAAAGTTTAAAACCTTCACCGCTAATATGAAAAGGCGATATTTTGCGATTTTACCACAACCTGAGTACCAAACAGATTGATACTAGTTATCGTAGAGGCAGAACTGCGCCAAGGGATGTCTTAGGGATCAAATCAAAATTATTTCCAAGTGGCTGTCTGTCAAACATGGCTCCATTCTAAGACTATATAAGCTACCCCTCTGCAATCCTTGGAACAAATCCATTTGCTTTGACAACCTGAGCTTTCTTTAGCCCTATATAACTGAGCAATCTTTATTGGTTCTGATGAAAGAACTCTCATGAGTTCCAAAGCCTGGTCTTGCATATTGTTTTTCTTTAAAGAAGACAAGATTAGTAATCAAAACTCTTTAATTCAGCTAGAGTATCACAAGGCCTCTTTGGTTTCACTTACTTCTTCGGACTTAAAAGCATAAAGCTCATACTCGTCTTTAAAGGGGTAACCTTGACTGCACACATAGCCAAATACTGTTTTGTCCTCTGGATCTTGAATAGTGGATAATATTTTCCAGTCAAGACGTATAGGCTTTCCAACCTACAAAAATGTAGCCAAAGAAAAACTTGAAACACATCTAGAAGATGATTTCTAAGATGTCCCGGAGGACACCTCTTTTGAGAACTTAACTATGATTTTCTGAGCATTGTGTGAGATAATTCAAACCAGCAAGTTTGCAGCACAAATTCTGACAAAATAGATAGACTTTAAAAAATTGACATTGGATTTGAGAACTGGTTTAAATTCTCTGGATAAAATTTATACAATATTATGATAAACAAATTCTACACTCTGTTCTCTTACTCCAATTCCCTCTTCCTCCACCAAGACATTAGTCTTGCTAATATGGAGTTTACAATATTTCTTCCAGTATTTGAACCAAAAGCTTCCTGCCTGTGCCTACAAAGATAAATTTCAATTTACAGCTACATTTAGTAATCTCAGATTGATTTATGCATGAAAAGTTTGCAGCCCTTGCCAAATTTATATTCATGCATGTGATAAAAATGAACCACATGTTCTGCTCCCAAACATAAGTGTTACAGGTACATAAACCAAAGTATTTGTGAGCCCCCAATGTTTACATTAACATATCGAATTTGATTGTTTTTGCAAAGCTCAAAAATTAATATAGGTGTGCCGTGGTTTCAGTGCCACCTTAATTCTGCATCAATGTAATGCATTTAAGGTGGCTCTGAACATACTTCACAGATTGTTTTAAAACTTCAGTTACAATGCAGTTTTGAGTTTAGTGATTTTCCCTCACACACACTTAACGTTATTAATATTACCATAATTGCTCCAGTGATTATAGAGATGTACACCCTCTGATTGGTAGAGGATTGCATCATATCTTGTTTGAGGTGATTAAAGCAGGAGCACTAAATTTCAAAATGGCTGCCTTAGGTCTTGTCAGTGTAACAGAGGAAGTGATAAAAATGATAAAGAAAATTCGATTCCAAATAGCACAAAAGATGCTAGTAAGCTTGGAGTAACACTTTTCAAAAGAGAGACATGAAGTTTTTGCTGTCTGAATTTAATGAACCTATCAAATCCTAGTGGAAACTGGCTTATCTCAATATATGTAATCAAAACAATTGAAACAGAATGGGTTCAATGTCAAAACAAACACTGACAACAGATTTCAAAGGCAGATACAAGCAATTATACTAAAACAATTATTTACATTACACTCATTGAATATTATACAATGATACTCACTTCAGTAATGTATGAAGGGAACTTAAAGGAAACTTTGAACAAGGTGAACCTTGATATGCTGATTGCAATTAAATATTAAAAAATTGGAGTTACCATTCTTTTCTTAAAAGTTGCAGGCCCATAAAAGGAAAATTAGGCATGTCTCTTGCAAGCTGCATCATCATTAATTATTGAGAAAAAATTGATGGGCAATATGTGTGATACCATTTTTAAGGGGATTAGGAGTAAAAGGGTTGAAACACTGACCCATCAAAGAACCAATTATAAAACCATTTTATGCAATTTAGCTTCTATAACAATATGTAAACGTGTTGTTACAGCTTTGGGATCCAACATGTCAAGGGTGTATTACCTTTAATTCTTTAAAAGCCTCAGGATACTCATCATCACTCACAAGGACTTTTTTTCCTAGAAACTTTGAGATGAATATAACTAATTTACTCCAATCTTACATGAATTTTTTAGGAGGAATCTTGATCAGATAGATCCATGATTATCATCATGAATATGAAACAAGGTTTTACATTATCTAGAAAAAAAACTAACATTTATCCTACCATAAAATCAAGTAGTTAGTGAATTAAGTGTACCTTAGTGCAGTAGGTGTAGTTTGGTGCAGTAAGTGTAGGTATCCAGTCAACTCGCCGACGGACCAACTCGCCGACGCCAACTCGCCGACGTATAAAATCGAGTAGAGACGTCGGCGAGTTGGTCCTCAATCCAATACAACTTATTAGAAGTTAAACATACATAAAAGTAAACGATATTTAGTAAAAAAACACTGGTGAACATTGGTGAACATCAAACAAAAGCTTAAACATTGGTGAACATTGGTGAATATCACCAATGACTATAACAGCTTAAGACGCGAACGAGTTATTGTGCGACAACAACACCGTAAAGACTCATCATGTCAATCGCGCAGATTTTTTAAAGAAAACTTGGCTTTCTAGACAAGATCTTGAGTAAAAAGCAGTTCTTTTTATTTGCAACAAAGTTTATAAAGATATCAAGGCGAATAAAGCGAAGTAAACATCGCCAATGAACAAAATTGGCTGTAGACGCGAATGAGTTGAGTGACAACAACAATCGGTCTTATTTATTTAAGTCAAGTTGCTTAGTAAAAAGTCAACCCACAAACGGTGTTGTTGTCACACAATAGTAGTATCTCGTTCGCGTCTAAAGCGGATATAGTCATTGGCGATGTCTACTTTGCTTTATTCGCCTTAAGATCCTTATAAACTTTGTTGCAAATAAAAAGAACTGCTTTTTACTAAATATCTTGTCTAGAAAGCCAAGTTTTCTATAAAAAATCTGAGCGATTGACACGATGAGTCTTTACGGTGTTGTTGTCACACAACTCATTCGCGTCTACAGCCAATTTTGTTCATTGGCGATGTTTACTTCGCTTTATTCGTCTTGATATCTTTATAAACTATGTTGCAAATAAAAAGAACTGCTTTTTACTAAAGATCTTGTCTAGAAAGCCAAGTTTTCTTTAAAAAATCTGCGCGATTGACATGATGAGTCTTTACGGTGTTGTTGTCGCACAATAACTCGTTCGCGTCTTAAGCTGTTATAGCCATTGTTGATGTTCACCAATGTTCACCAACGTTTAAGCTTCTGTTTGATGTTCACCAATGTTCACCAGTGTTTTTTTTATTAAATATCGTTTACTTTTCTGTATGTTTAACTTCTAATAAGTTGTATTGGATTGAGGACCAACTCGCCGACGTCTCTACTCGATTTTGTACGTCGGCGAGTTTGCGTCGGCGAGTTGACCGTAATTCGTAAGTGTAGCATGTGTAGTTCAGTGTAGTAGGTCTAATGGGGGTACGTTTCTTTAGAAACTGTGGTGCTGTGTCAGTGGGAGGGTATAACAAGGTAATTTGGTATTATCACTTGAGTTGATAACATAAATTAGCCTCTGTTAAGAGTTTCAAAGCTGACATTTGGAGAACTAGCCCTTCGTCAGAGTGAATAGAGGAATTTTGGGTAGTGTGTGTGTTTATATGTAGAAAATGGAGCTACACCATTAGTGGAAACATGGTACTGAGAAAAACAAGAATAAATTAGCTAGATGAAAAGCATTCATTGATAAACTTTTGGGAAAATGCCAGAAATATATATTAGGGGGGCAAGAATTTACTGAGGTAGGACACAATAGATATTTCTCTGGCCAAAACTTGGTGTCTGAGCAATAATAGGTTTGACTGAACGACTTGACCAGCAATAGCTGGAAATTAGAGAGAGCTTTTCTACTTTTATAAGGTGACTCAGCAATTGTAAATGTATATTATTAATAATCAATCACATGAGTTTTCCTGTGCTATTTAGAATAAATTTATGAGAACTGGTAAATTTTAGAAAATTCCATGAGTATATTTATACTACACTCCAATTGGAATTGTGTGATTATACCTGCACAAATTACTTTACTTTACTGCAAGTCAAACACAGTTTACTCACCCTAGAATTATATAACTGATAATAAACCAAATACTTTCAATCCATGTTATAGAGCAGTAATTTGATTCAAGAGGAGAGATATAATAATATCAAGAACAATAATAATAACAATAATAATAAGTTTAATGGTGATAATTAAAAGGATAATTAAAATAATAAGGATCAAACCTGGCATGTGAATTTGACGTCTGGTTCAGTAAATGGGTTCTGACACCAATCTATTTCCATTTCCTTAATCTTAGTAATGGCTAAAAAAAGAGGAAATCCAGGTTTTAAAAAGTGACATAAATGGACAATTCAAAGGAAGAACACTTTAAACTTGTGCTGAAAACAAAGCATACCTGGTAATTTTCAACTTTTACCTAGGAATCAATCAGCAAAAAGGTGACAAAAGAATTGCAATGCAGTCCTATTATCAAAGTTGCTGGGTCATATCACCCTAAGAATGAACTTATGACTCTATGTGTTGGAGAACAACCAATTTAAGGGGGTTTACAAATTGACCACTCATCTGTTAGCTTAGAACTATAACTTTGCTTATGCCTATGCCATATTGGTACTCATGTTAGTTATCTTCCTGCTCTTTACAACACTTCTGTAGTGAACAGTTATTTTCTACAAGTTCTCTATGTAATAAGGTATGCCAAAAAACATAATCAGTGTGACTTCTTCAATGTTTGAGAAAAACATTTTGGCTTTCCCCTCCAGAATTTTAGTTTATGCAAGAATTGCAAAGATCAAACAATCAAGTCAAAGTGAAACAAAACTTGAATATCATGCTTCTCTCGTCTCCACACACAACATTGAAACATTGAAACCCAGCGACAGATCACCCATTGTCTGAATTCAGTATTACCAGAAGCCTTTCAAATCCATTGGCATGGCGATGACCACAAGGTTACTTATTTAAATTTTTGACTGTGTAAAACTTTATTATTTTTTAGGCTAACAGAAAGAATTAAGCTGAATAACAAAGCGTAAATTGTGTTGTAATTTATTCTTTTCAAAGATAGACTATTAATAAAAGTGCTTCCGGGTTTTTTGGCTTATGACTGACCGTCATAATATGACGTCAAGTTACAACTGAATCAGATAATCCATTGATGCTTTTTAAACAATGAAAAATATCATGATCAGTCTTCAATTACAATACTACCAGCTAGGAGTGGTGACTTACCAATTCCTTTGCTTTATAAAGGTCTTCCAAAGCAAATAGAGTGAAGTGCTACCCTGTGTTAGCTCTTGGATGGTTTTCTAAGCTGCGTAGAAGAACAACAGTTTTTTATACTTCAGCCGATCCAGTCAAAAAATTTAAATATTTAAACAATAGAGCAATTTTTTCCGGGCTCTATAACCTGATGAAGCATCCGCTTGGAAACTGAATTGGCAAATTAGAGGATGCATACCACGTTTATTTATGTTATGGGGTGCAGATTAAGTTCTTCAGTACGCATGACGTTTCGCAGATTAACACGAGCGTATTGCACTCTGGGATCATCACACTGCACTGTGGGCTCGTTTACGGGCAGTACTAACGAAGTCAGCGGATGAGTGGACGGGGAAATTTGAAAAATTTTTAAATTTTAAAAGGTCCCGAAATATTTCTGCAGGTAATCGAACGAAAGCTATTCGTGTTCAAAATTGTCATGCCGCGGTTTCCGTAGGTTTTAAACCGAAAGAAACTCAAGAGAATGTTAGGACTTATACCCACACCATCCCTCAATCGAATCATGAGAAGTAAATTTTAGAAGCCGGGTTAGTTCCTTAATTTACCAGACCCCAACACTCTTAAAATTGCTTGGGAAGACTCACCATCAAGCCTACCTGATATTATTTAGAGTGGAGCTGAAACGCTTACGTATTTACACAAAATGAAAAGATAAAAACTCAATTTAGTTGCATTATGGAACAACAGCAAAATATTTCAAAGTTTGCCAAGAACTGATCACGAACTGATCAGTCGCTCAAAGAGAAACAGAAAGCAAATGAAAATGAATACTCTCGATCGATACAGAAAAATTAAGCACTATCTTAGGCAAAAGAATGTTGAAAAAAAATGTGAGAGATGGCGGTGCAGATAATGCTATTTTTAAAAGGAAAGTCTATTTCAAGAAGTCTGTTCCTAAAATTGCTAAATTTAGAAACTTTGAAAATAGCAAAAGTCACAGACCTGTTTCATTCTTCATCATCGGCCTCCAAGGAACGAACACGCTCCTCTTGTGATTTATAGGTATTAATCACCAGTTTTACCACAAATCAGAGAGCTGAATCATAGAAATTCTCAGAGTTAATGTAGACTTATATGTAGAAAGGTAAGAAATGCTCCATCTTTTTTCTTGATGAGAAGAAAACGTCGGTGGAGGAATAACGCCAGCTGTAATTGCATAATAAGCAACAGTTATTTCATACTCTATCGAGTTAATTTTAACTATTAAGTGCTCTGAAGTTTTTTGGATGAGCCGTAAATGTACCCATATGTTCCTTTTTGGTTTGTTTGTTTTTTCGTTTTCATTTCATTTTTCAAAGTTCTTTTGAACACTAAGGGACGAAATTGTCCTTTCAGTTGACAGGCCTGTAGATCCCTCCACAACAATGTCATTCACTACAGGTCTTAGTACCGTGAAATATGTCTCACTGTAAAAGTATTCTGGGAAGAAAGTGATTTGGAGCAGGCGAGAGAAATCTTCTTTTTCAATATTTAAACAACTCAGCAGTGGTTTCACGTGGTCTGTTCTCTTATCATCAACGGTAATCGTCATCTCAGTGGCCACAATATCGACGTCAAATAAAACGATTCTCTTAGTGCGTGACAAGTTGACCCGAGCGGCGTTATCTTTACTCTCATCGACAACGGCAAATTGGCCAATCAGATCGCGACATTACCCCTAGTTATGGTCAAATAAGTCTACAGTCATTGATAGTCCAAAAACGGCCGCCCCTACTACCATGGAAAATCAAAATTACGAGCACTGCGAGCATTGGAAAGAGCGCAAAATTTGTTGGTAGTTTCGCAATATGAAGGACGCGAAAGGTTTAGGTTTACGAATTCGCATTTGAATTCAGTAGAGCTGTCGATCCAATTCACCCTTGAGTGCGAAAAGGATAGAGATTTGCCCTTTCTTGATTTAAATGTGTCCAGAGGGGTTCAGGGTAATTTAGAGACAAGTGTCTACCGTAAACCTACCCACACCGACAAATACCTCGCTTTCGATTCTCACCACCCTATCTGCCATAAAAAGTCTGTAGCCAAAATTTTACTTAGGAGGGCTGACTGTCTACCATCTTTACTCGATTCGAAGGCTGAGGAGAGGAAATATGTTTCCAATGTCCTAAAGGCAAATGGCTATACAAAAACTTTTCTCCGTAACTGCCAAAAACCAGTTACAAATAGTAACGCTCTTGATGAAGGGGAACAAGCGACTGGTTTTGCTGTTATTCCTTACATACAGGGTGTTACGGAACCCATCAAGAGAATTTTGAATAGCCACAACGTTAAAGTTGCTCAAAAACCTTTTCAGACTTTGGGGCATATTTTCGCCAACCTAAGGATCCTGTCACGAAAGAACAACGAACCGACGCTATTTATTCTATTCCTTGCAATGACTGTGACAACGAATACATCGGACAGACCAAACGTCAGTTTGGTACACGGTTAAAAGAGCACCAAAAAGCGGTTTTTCTTAGCAAAAAGGAAAATTCAGCTTTATCGGAGCATACATGCCTAACCAACCATACAATTGGGTGGGATAATTCTAAAATTATCACCACTAATCGGCGTTACCACCAGCGCCTTTGTTTGGAGGCTTGGCATATTAACTCCGCCCACGCTCCTTTAAATCGTGACGATGGCGGTTTGTTTCCTGACGCCTATTTACACCTCGTCAGAAAAAAAGGCCGCTAATTAGTGATCATATAAAAGGACCTCTTGTTGCAGCGTTTAGATCACCCCTGATGAAGGCACTAGACAGGAGTGTCGAAACGTTGGGTCTATGAATTGTAACTTCTTCAGTTACATTCATTAAATCTGCAAACCAGAGTAACATCAAACCATGTCTGATTGTCCACCTGGTTGCCTTGTGAACTTTAATGTTTTAAACTAGAATTTCTTCGCTTCTTAGCAGGTGGTTATCATGTGAGATCACTTTGGTACGAGCCTGATACCTTTTGCTGAAGACTGAGGTCTTTGGTTTTGAGTTGCTATTCTATTAAATTTTGTTTCCCTCACAAGAACAAGTTTAACTACTCCTCGGTACACAGTTAGCTCCTGGGACTGCGACGTCTTGTACATTGAGGAAACAAAGCAGCAGTTGCCGAGCTAGAGTACGAAACAAAAGTTCCCGTGCGTCACCCGTAGCATATGCCGTCTTATTACGGAAGGAAAGCGCCAACGATAAATTAATTAATTTTAAAGGAAAATGGAAAGTAATTTCTTTGATGCGATCGCAGAGAATTTAGAATATCTTACAAAGATCTAAAGGCAAACAACTAAACATATCGCTTTCGCCATACAACAACAACTATTGACAAAAATATGGACGATATGTTACAGATGAGGATCAAAATTGATAACATAAGTGCTTATAGAACTGAAGGAAATAAGATATGGCCAAATTAAAAGTTATGAGCAAATAAGAAAGCTCTGAAATTCTTTCTTTCCACAGAAATTTTGTATATAGGACGAGGGGAAGAGTTTCTACTTTGCAATTTCTTTAGCTGCAGCTCACCTGCAAAAATTAGTTCTTCATTTTGTACTTCATCCTCGGATAAAAATATTACTTATTTCATTTAATACATAATCCTCTACGGGAACAACAATCCCAGAAGAATTTGCAATAATTCCAGCCTGAGGCTCCGCAGCTCAATTGGTTATAGTGCCTGGAAGTGCTCGGGTTCAAATCCTCTCGAAGTCAGAATTTTGCAAAGTTCGTTTCTTGAATTTCTTTACTGATGCTCGCTTGCAAGGATCATGTCTTCACTGATTTGTTACTTTGAACGCTTAGATCAGGGTCTTACTTATTGTGGATTCTGATGAATAACCACCACTCGGTTTTGGAAAAAATTTTTCTTCTAAAAATTTGGTCAATCACGAGGCAGAAGAAAAAAATTTTTGGTGAGAAGTATCGTTACCGTCACTTTTCAGGAAAACACTGAGTCGCATAACATCTTGAGGTAATTTTACAGTAAATGATCTGAACGCAGAAGGAACAGGTTAGAGAAGACCTAAAAAGGATCTTTTTCAGTGGACGTTACTGTTATTTTGACAGTCTCCCGCTTAGCTTGTTAAAGGTCATTCCTTGTTACCAAGAGCAATCCTTTAAGTACCGCTCTAACCAAAACGACCAGACCACACGATAGACAAAACCAAAAATTAAAAATGATAGCTGTATTTAGTCTAACCAAACCAACACACTACAAATATCGCAATAAAAATTTATATCGACGGACGGAAGTTTTGTAATGAAACGTTAGGCAAAAAAATCATAATGATATGCTATTACATTTGCAGACGATAAATAAGTCTGACAATAAGATTGATGATTTACGCTGAGAGGGCTCAGTCGTGCCAATCCGTGCCAAGCCTGCTTTTATCGATTAAAGCAGGTGCCCGAAAATGGACTCTTGATGACACCTTCTTGGTGGTATCGGACTGTGCCTTCTTTCTTTACACATCAAACGGACGCTTTTATCTAAATCCTTACGAGATCAGCGTGTAAATACCTAGGTAAGGAATAATGGAAAGCTGAACACGCCTAGACAGAAAAAGTCTACAAGTTTTCAGAAGATACATCCGAACACTTAAGTTACATCGGGAAAGATGGAGTTTTCTTTGCAGGATCTTCTATATGATCGTCCGGTACAGTAGCAATACTGCAAACCATACAGACAACATTATGTTTGAAGTTGATTAGAAAACTCTATCAAAAGGTGCCCTGCGCTTCCGGTTCTATTTCATCAATTATTTCTTCCATAGTTGGTCTGGCCTGAGGGTCTGTTTCCAAACATCCTCTGATAAGAGCTCGAAGCACATTGTTTGCCACCATTGCTACTTGTTGTTCTCGTCTTTCAGGGTCTGGTAATTCACGGATGGAAATCTCACAAAGAAGTACACCAAAACTGTAGACATCAACCTGACCACAGAAAATGAAGAAATAAATGACAGCACAGAGAGATGCAACACCGTGCATGCTTTTAGGCTATTGTGGGAAAATGCCCTGAATAGGCGGAATATTAAGAAAGTAACTCTTGCGGCATGGGAATCTTATTAAACCAACGCTTTTAACGGCGAATGCAGTTACAGAAATGATTCGATTTTAGCCTTTTCCTAAGAAATCCCTTCCTGCACTTTAAGGTGAGAGAGGAAACAACATTCAAATATTGTTTCCTCTCTCACTCTAAAGAGTCTTTGAGCTTCTAATGAGGTGAAAAAGGTTCATGCCAATAATCGTCACTGTTCAGTGCTTTTCACAGCGAGGGCAATTGCCCATTATTGAGCAAACTATGAATTAGTGATCATGAGACACGTCTTACTTTTCAAATTCTTACTTTTGCAAACTGTCATTTACATATAAGAGCACCATTTCTATATGAGGAAAGCAATTTTTTCGACTGGTGGTTCAAGTTTGGAAAGATTTAGTTCCAAAACTGAGGTAAAAAAGGCGGCCATCGTAAAGAAGAGAACTACCCGTGAAGAAAATGCCCAATTACAGAGAAAGGAGGCTTTTATATTACTCTCCATCAAAATGTTACGATGTCTAAAGGTATAACACATAAAATAAATTGGAATCAAAAAGCACGAATAATCTCATCGAGTCAAAAAAGTGCCGTTAGATCATCAATCTGAGCAAACCTGGACTGTTTGATTTGTAGCGCGTGCTTCAGGTGCACTGTAGATTAGAGCCCCAGGTGCAACCGTCATGGTCTGTTTCTTGAAATTAGCAGTGCCATAATCTGACACTTTAGCTCGCCATTGAGTACCTTGTCTCCAGAGCAACACATTTGCACTGCTGATGTCACGGTGAAGAATAGGGATGGGGCGTTTTTGGTGAAGGTAGTTTAGTCCTCGAGCCACATCCAGAGCAATAACGGTGATTTCTGTCTGAGAAAGTGATCTTTCCTGTAACAGTGCTCGCAAGCTTGTTTCCATGACCTCTGTAAGAAACAAAGGTGTGTGGTCGTCGTTTGTTGCTCCAATGAATTGCAGTAAACAAGGGTGTCGACATCTCGAGGCAATGTCCATTTCTCGTTCAAACAACCTGCGGTTGTGAGGAGAAAGAATCAAATCATGTATCGTTTTCACGGCAACGACACAACCACAGAACCTTCCTTGGACAACCTCTCCCCAAGCACCTCTACCGAGGGATTTGGTCGTCAGCTGAATTTGATTACGTGGAATAACCCAGTCTGGTGATCTTTGAGCCTGATTATCACGTAATATCTGCTGAGCTGTTGAAAGGCTTCTTTCTAGTTCATTTTTTTCCCGGTCTTTTCTTGTCAGCTGTTCTTCTAGCTCGCCAACTTGTTGTACCGTAATTCCTAATCGTTCTTGCAAAGCAACAGTTGCTCTGTCTTTCTCTCTGATCTGAACTTGAAGATCTCTCTGTTGCGAATTCATTTCCCTTAATCGCAATTCCGATTCAACTAATTTTTGCTCTTTTCTCTCCAGCTGCTCTTGCATTTTGGTCTTCAGCTGATGCATTGCACGCAGGTTTCCGTTTTGGCGATCTCTTTCCTTTAACAGGTTGGCCTTTTCCGACTCTTTCTCCCTTAGTTGTGTTTGAGATTGTGAAATCTGCTCTTCCATTGCTCGCAGTTTTTGGTATAAATTCTCTTCCTGTCTAATTTTCTCTTCCAGTTGTTGATTTTTTGTATTCAAGCGAGTTTGGAGGTTTACATTAATCCTTTCCTTCTCTCGCAACTGGTCATCTTTTTGCCTGAGCTGTGCCTGTAAGTTGGATAAACGAGTTCTCATTTCCTGTAGCTCGGTCCGGTTCTCTAGCGAAAAAAAAACGACAGTTTCTTTTACTTCCGGGAGTCAAGAAATGTACCGAATTCACTACAGCTCACCCACTTGAGACATTCTCGTGCTCAGTGAAAGAAGATCCTCGGTTGCACGCAAATGACCTCTATCTTTGTTAACGTAAGTGCCAAGCAGTTACTACTAGCCACGATTAGAGATTCCAAAGACTGACCGAACTAACCTCGTACCTAGATCCTACCGTTTAACTGTGACTAAAATGTAGGGACCACTCAACTGCTTGGCCGTGAGAGGTCTGAATACAAGACTATGACCGAACCTAACAGAAGTTGTCTTCAAATTGAGCTAATACCCTTAATAATAATGATATACATGAAAAAATTGAGCGCATCTGATTGGCTGAAAACGGATGCATTTTTCATGTAATAGCAGTGCAAATTACAAGAAGAAGCAAGTTATTCCTATTTCAGCTCGTGCATTGCTGCTCACTATTTTACCATTTTTCAAAAAGTTCCACATAGTAGAGACATGTGTTGTTTATCAGGCGTACTTTCCTCTACGAAAAGGTACAGTTTACGACAGTGAGATAACAGGAATCTCTCGCACATTTAGTTCGTGTTACAAACTAAAGAGAGTGGACTGAAAAAGTAGAAGAGAGTGGACTTCTTCATTGGAAAAAAATGACTCCAAACTGCTAATGATTATGATACGGACGAGCTAGTCGAGTAGGGTACTTGCCTAAGAATCACCTCATTCTTCAAAAGAGAATGTGACGATCAGTAAGATCGTTGGAAGAGTAAAATTCCCTCAACTTATCAGTCATTGTCAGTCAGTGACAAACTTACTTTCTCATGAACACACCATTAAAACATCATGCAATATAGCATATAACATGGTAACTTTAAAATAAGAATTGAAATATGGGACCAGTACATACGAGTTATTTTAAAATACTTATTTTTGTGGAACAGTCTTTTACAGTAGTTATAATCATTCAACAAAATCAATGGTTCTGCAGTCAGTACCATTTGATGAATTTCTGGTGACCTGCTCCTTTGCTGATCCAGCCCTTTGTCTAAGAGTTACTGATACCTCAAAAAGTTCAATAATGGCATCAATTATGACCTTTGCCTGAAAGAAAAAATAACACATGCTTAGAATAATTAATAATTGCAAGTGCTTAATGAGCAATATTTAAGATTAAATGTTATGAAAATTTTTATTTGCATGAGTGAATTTGAAGCTAAAAATTTGCAGCCGAGAAGTCTTGCAAGCCTTCAAATCAAAGTGCACTATTGTAAAGTAGATTTAAAGTATTTTCCTCTTGAACAATTTGCATAGTTCCCTGACAAAAATTTTTCTCCTCAATGGTTTCTTTTCAGCAGGAAATGCCACTCTCAGAGAGGCACAAAAGCATATACAATAAATTAACTGAAACAGGAATTTTTGGGTAGCTCAATATTTGAAAATTTTTTGGCTGACTAAGAAATTCCCTTGAATTATTGAAAAATTGAATTTGACTGTCATACAGAAAAGAGAATGTGGGAAAAGGAGATCAATTAATTTTTAGATGACTCAGAATTAATTTGCATCTCCATTTGTATTGTCATAATTAGATATGAAATACATTCCCCTGCGTATCTCTTTGAACAGTAAAAGACTTGGATACCTTTTCCATATAAAGGGTGATGACATATGTATAACTGAAACCAACTATTAGTTACTGGTTATGAGGTAAGTCTACTGTCAAGCCCATGACCCTTGCTGCTGGAGCTTGATCCAGATGCTCATTCCACTTTCATGAGCATATGACATAACCAGGGATACTGCATGCATCCTTACCTAGTTGAATCCTGGGCCATAATAGTTGTCCCAGTGCAGCAATTTGTCAGCTAAGTTAATTCTTTAGCAGTTTTCTAATACCTCCATATGTTCCTCAGCAGAGAGAGGCATTGGGAGAGTGAGACATCAGATCCCATTCACAACAAAACATGGTGAAAAGACATGTCTCAAACCAAGACCATGCATCATGTCTCCTACAATTAGCCCATGCATTTCCTGTAATTCAGTCAACAAAGCAAATAATTTCTTTAATTTCTTACATTTTCTGACTTCAGAGCATAGAATGTATATCCAGTGGAACAATCAGGCTGACTGCAAACATAACCAAATATTTTCTTATCATCTGGGTCAGGAGTGACAAATGATATTCTCTTGACAGGATGCATATGCTGCACTTCCTAAAAAAAAATACATCAGTAAAACCTATAAAAACACAACAAAATGTACTGAGATGGAAGGGGCACCTGGAGATTTAATCGTATCTTTCCCTTCTGCTGTTCAGCCCTTCCTTTGTTCAGTACTCTCAAGCTATTTTTGACTTGAGTGGATAAATGAAAATATAAATAAGTAAATGGATAAGTCAGTGGGTAAAGAAAACATAATGTAAAATGTAACAAAACATTTGAACCATACACTGCCCCTTGAAAATTCTCTTTGGTAATTAGATGGAAAAAGTGAAAGCAATATTTGGATGAGATTTAAGAGTTAACTTATTTCATATTTTTTTGATTAAAAAAAATATATTGGATAAGATGTAGAGATAGAAATACACTGCATAGTTTTACTTGGCATTTTGATTCCCCAATCTTTTGAAAAAAATCTTTTTTCCAAAATTCGAGTTACACACTCATAGGTGCAGCTTATATGTCACTGTGTCTCTGGCAATCACATCATGGTGGTTAAATAATATTTGACTTATTTGCATACTTACTCGAGTAGTCTCATCTTCTATCCTGATACCTTCCAAACTTATAGTCAGTGTCACCCTCTCTTTGTGTTGCCCCTTTTTCTTCGCCTGAGCCTAGTATAAATAACAATAATAATAATAATAATAATAATAATAATAATAATAATAATAATAATTCCAGGACTGAGAGGATTATTATGTTACCAGAAGGATAAGTGAAAAGACATTGCTGTGCATTGGGGCAAGGCAATAGAGAAGGGGCCAGGTGCCAGATTGGGCTGAATGAAGGGCAGTTTATGACAAGCTTTCATGATCAACTATAGGCAGTAACAATTTGTCATATTGGCAGACTTGCCTGTGGTAAGTACACTGAGAAGTTTTTAGTACTTACTGGTAGGTTATAATAATGCAATTCAGGCAGTTTTATGGTGGCATGTTCAAGGAATAACACAGCCTATAATTGTCATGTTTTAGAAATATAACACAACTTATAATTGCCATTATGACAAAAAATAAATTTGAGCTTTGATTCAAGTTCATGAACTAACATGACTCATGAACAGGTACACTGCACCTTTAATTTCCTTAAAGCCTCAGCACACATCTCCCCACCCTCTGGGCTAGCGACATCTGTTATCCCTACAAGCTTTGAATTAAAAGTAAGCAAAACAGTGTTAAAACAATTTTAAAAAATTAACTGAAGGAAAAGGGGGAATTTGACTCATAAATTTGCAAAATCAGTAAAAGTTGCAACTGAAAAATATTGGTCAGACCTTGCACTGAAATTTGGTTCCTTCTTCACTGGTTCCCATTTTCTTATTAACAAGAAAAGAAGAAAAAAAATCCAAATTTACTACCAGAAGCATCAATATGAAAATTCTAATTGTATTCTAATGTACAAAAAATAAGAACACTTAGAATTAATTCCATCAAGCACAAAGTAAATTAGCCTCTGATTTGTGGGAAAATTGTTTTACACCTAACCATGAACCCATCATGGCCTTTAGACTTAAGACTGCCCAAAAGCAAAACTTACATGGGAATTAAACAATTATGATTTTACAGAAAATGGCTGTACATGTAGTCTTACAAGGTCCTATATTTGAGTTTCAGTTTTATTCAATCAGTAATATTAAATCTCCATCCCTCAAGCAACAGTTTTACCTTCCTGGACTCATCCCTTCCACCAAGTCAACAAGTGAGATACCCAACCATGTCTAAGGTTTCCCCTTTGGATTTCCAAGGACTTGTTTCCAGTTTCCACTATCATAGTATCAATGATAGTCATGGTCTTGTGCTAAATGTCTAGTCAAAGCATGGCTAAAAAACTAAGGGCATCAACCTAGAAGAGATATTTTTACTTCTACTTTCCCATGAAATGGACTAGGCCTTTTATTTTTGTTGTGTGTGCTGCCAGATCATTATAAGACTTAAACATATGGTAGAAGCTTAGCTGCCTCATCAAATTTCAAGAAACAGGTGAAATAACGGTTTCCTTCTCAATTATTTTAAGACTGATTTTCCTTTTAGAAGAATTTTCTGATCTCTATACTAAAGGAATCTTTCCTTATCATATAGCTTTAGTTCTTAGTATTTTTATTGTAATGCATAACATAAATAACTTATTGAACCACCATGTACTCTCAGATCCCCAGTATTGTGCTATCCAGGCAAACATTACAATGATCATCGTTTATTGAGAGGTGAGGTTGTAATGCGCAACATGTAAGCGTCATATTATATCATAATACACTCGCGAAGCAAACACAGTCTTGCACTCATTTAGTTCCTTCACACGCCAGCCGAATAAATCGTTTGAATTTGACTGCCAAATGTTATATCAACGGATATTACATTCAAATCACCTCATGCAGTCACTGAGTGGAACTCGAAGGCTTTCCAGTATATTTGCTTGACATGTGGAGTTGCTACCACAACAAAAAGAGTAAGGTTAAGCCATCCAAAACGATCCAATGGCGGAAATATAAACCCTTTGTGTTCTTCCAAGCTATTCCAAGCTGCTTTCGATGTAGGGTAGTCATTTAAGTTCAGCTATTCATTTGAACAGTTCGGTGTGTTACTTTCGCAGCTGAAAACCATTTAGTTTGAAAACATTCAATGCATGACTAAAACACCCTACCTTCAAAATGAAACGCAGCAAAGTACCAAGGTAATCTGTTGGGTGAATGTGAAGTCATTTGTGACGGCTGGCCGCTACCTGTTCATTCTAGACTTTCTAAAAAAAGTCACTCATTATTCAACGGAGAGAATGGAAGATAAAACTGCCAATTGTCACAAATAAATCTACATTACTTTGCAAGGCGAAGTATTTTCTACGCAAAATATACTTTGAATTATATCGCCAGGTTCAGGCATTCGGAATTTTAGTAGTCTATTAACCCAACGTAAGCTATTGTCACGCAATACTTTTTGTCCCAAGGGGAAGGAAGTGTATTTGCGGTGACCGTTGGGTCGAGAGTTCTGAATGCGCATAGGAAGATGATTTCCCTTTCGTTTTGTTTTGTTTTTTGGATCAATGTACGACATCTTGTGGGAGCGAACGTATTTACGAACAAAGTTATTTGAAGCGGTTCTAAAAAAAGTTCACGGCTCTTCACTGAGGCTCTTATAGGGGTGTTGGCTTTCACCGTGAACGGTTAAAATTATGGACATTTTACGGCTAACAGTTCATTTTTTTCCGTTTGAGGTTACGAGGAAAATTTTTTAAGTTCACTGTTTTTACGTCTAACTGTTAAATTTTGTCAAGTTTACGTATAAAGGCTTAACAAATTTATGCCGTTTTACGGCTAATAGTTGACCCCATTGAGAGCCTCTTACCTCAAGATTGTAGTCATGTTAGTCTTATGCCCCATTCACACCAAAGCTTAAACATGTTTAAAAGTTGTTTTGTTAAACACAGTTTAATTTTTTTTTTCTTCATAGAAACTATTTAACCGAATATTTTTGACTTGAATGTAGCACATTGGAAATGCAAGTTAGCAAGTACTTGAATCCAATGGAAAATCAAGTTTTTCAGTTCTCTGTTTATAATTTTCATTCAATGAAAACCAGTTTAACAAAACATGTTTTGCTGGTGTGAATGGGGTATTAGACAGATAGAAGGGGCGTGTGATCGCAGATTATTTTTTCTAGGGCTACCCTCAATACACAGTCCGCTATTATTACAGCATTCCAAATGCAACAGAGTCTCGTTTGAATGAGTGACAAAATGCTGGGGGTTATTTCGCTGGGCATTTGATGAAAAGTTGAGCCAGAACTGAAATGCATCTTCCATGGTGTTTCACCAAAATACAATTTGCGACAACTACAAGGTTAAATGAGGAGTTAACAGCAGATCTGACCCCTTGGAACAGCATCTTCCCCAATATGCAATGTCTTAAGTAACTTCTACTCTGTATTTGAACAGAATTTACTCTTGGCATGGTAAACTACTTTTGGTAAAAGTAGTTTAAAGCTTGAGCCACATCCAGAGCAATAACAAATATTTCGGTCTTGGAGCTGTGACTCCAATTTGTCCTCAAGAATCGCAATTTGTTGCCTTAAATCAGCACTTCTACTTATCTCTCTGCAAATTGTCATTGAACTTTGAACACACCTATCTCTGTAAATTTTCTTTTCCCGTAACTGCTGCTGCAACTCCTCAAGATGCGTTCGTAAATTTTCTTCTCGTTCTTCTTTCTCTGTACACTCCAGCTCCTTTCTACTCAACTTTCTTTGAAAGTTTAATACTTGCTGGGTTCTTTCAATAAGCTGTTCACGAAACCATGCTTCTCTCGTTTCAGTTTCCTCTATTTTTTCTCTCCACCTTTGCTTTCGTTCTTCTTTCTCTGTCAACTGTTTCTACAAGTTCTCTATTTGTTGGTCTTTATCTTTGAGCCGTATTTTAAACGCAGTTTCTTCCTCTTTCAGTCGTCGTTCCATCTCTTTAAGCTGCATCTGGAAAATTTCCTCTCGTTCTTCTTCCTTTTTTTAATGCAACTGTTGTCCCATCTCCCGCAGTTTTTCTTGAATGTCCTCTATTTGCTGATCTCTTTCTCGCAGCTGTTTATGCAGGTAACTTTCTTTCGACTCTTTCTGCGTCATTTCGTTTTGCAACTGTTGCTCCATCTCTTTCAGATCTCTTTGTAAAAGTTCTTTTCGATTGTCTTTCTCTCCCAGCTGCCGCTCCAGCTTCCGCAGTTGTATCTAAAGGTTTGCTATTTGCTGGTCCCTTTCTTCGAGCTGTTGATGCAACTCAATTTCTCCTGCCTCCTTCTCCATAATTTTATTTTTTAACTTATGATTCACCTCTTATTCAAGTCTGTTTGTAAGGTTTCTAATCGTTCCTCTCTTTCTGAACAGTGTTGATTCGTCTCCCTCAGTTGCTTGTGAAGAGTAGTCACTCGCCGGTCCCTTTCCTCGAGCTGTCGGAGTAACGCACTTACTGTTGATTCTATTTCCGTTTGACTGCTTATCCTTGCTCCATTTCTCTCAAGTCTGTTCGTAACATTTCTTCCCCTACTTCCTTCTGTTTAGGCTCCTTTTCTTGGTTCTTTTTCTCTTTTCTTTTTATGGATGTGTTCGGCTGATTTTCTACCAGTCCTATTTCCGCCGACTGCACAGCTGAATAGAAAGTAAGTACAGTATTTCTCTTGCAGTCACGTCTTCTCTCAAGGATTGCTCCATCGCGCAAACCTCAGTGCCACTTCTTATGAATTTTGTTCACTTTTTCTTCTCCGGCGGGCTGGCTTTGTTTCAGAATTCTTAAGAAGTGCCTGCGAACGTCTTTGTTTCTGTTTCTAATGTCAGAATCTGTCCAAGGCTTTAATCTATCCAGTGCAACGGAAACTGTTCTAGAGTTTGGTTCACAGGTGAAATATCGCTTGTCGCTTAATTTTCCATCAGGTACTCCATGGTTGGGAAGAATTTCCGGAAAAAGAGGTCGAGTGTACCATGGTATGATCGAGTGTTGATTTTCCTCATCACAGAGACCTCTATATTCGAAGTACTACTCTCTGTCATAGCAGTCAAATCCAGCTTTGTTTTCTGGAATAAGTAGATTCTTCAGCTTTGCGTGGTGATTACAACACTCTCGATTTCCAACAATTAGAGGAACTGCTATTAACTGTTTTATTAAATGCGCAATACCACTCTACATTTTTTTTCACAAAAACGTGTTAAGTTAATTATCAATTTTTCATTCATTTCTGTGACACCTTAATTTGATCCATATGAAATCTTTTTAAACGGAAAAATACTGCACTAATTACGATGATTCTCCCACCTCCTTCTAGAGACAATATACAACCATGCCATCTATATGTTAGGATTTGTCTGGTACCTCTCTTTGAAAGGTAGCACACTTCGAAAACCTATTCATTTAAGAGTGAAACTCGGGATGCTCCTCGGTGACTAAATAATCATTTAAATCATACATGTGGCGGCGTTAGAATTTTGAGGTATCCCAAAGTCTCTATAACTGTCTAGAAATTGCAATTAATACACATAAGTTTCTGCTACACATGACGTGCTCTATAGACTTTCATGTACAGTGTGCTCTTTTTTTTTCTAAAAACTAAATTCCAACCCTTCGGTACACAGGGTTTTGATAAATCTGGGGGACATTTCAGAACACACGTGGCCCTAAAAAAATACCCTCTCTCAGTAATAGGCTCCTGTTTGGAAGTCTTGCTTAAATTAGAAGGCTCTCCCTTGCTTTGGGGTAGTTATCGTCAATATTTTGCTGATCTCCTTTAATTAATTTGCTCAAATTAATGGCTCCTACAGCAAACGCTGATAGTTACGACCTAAATCATACAAAATTTAGTGAACAAAATCCTGCATACTTTACACGGCTAGCTTTCCATTATGAAAAATAGAAAATGAAAAGCATCTTGTTAACGAACAACGGCATCAAAATAAAGTCCCGAAAAAGACAACGTGGTCGCCCATTTCTCGCTAAAACGTAACAATGATCTAATTTGCTGCATCGCTTTTAAGGAGAGATTCCTCATGTTTTTAATTTTTTTCCTTGTTATTTATTGCCAAATGAACCTGTTCTCGTCTTTCGAAAAACCTCTTTAGAAATTCAAGTGACACTTACTCTCAGTTCAACTTCAAACCAAGTTCTAAGGCTAGGTGATAATTCGCCTTTGTATCGCACAATCCCAGGCTGTTCGTTAGGTAATCCTTTCACATAAACAAGAACCTCTCTTCCGGAAAAAATATTAGGTGCGGTTATCAAATGTTTCCTCTCAACAAATGTCTGATGATTTGATTCGTCCGATGAAATCGCTAAAAGCAAATTAGCGTTTTCGTCAGAAAGTTCAACAACATCCTAAATCCCTAATACAGTTAAGATTCAACAGAGTACGGCAATTGGAACAAGGGCTACTCTTTTTTCATCTGTCGGCTGAAGACACTCAAGAGTAGTTGTTAACAGCTCGCCTCCCAGCACTTGTGTTTGCAAAGAAGTATTACTGTTCTTACCAGTGCCTCCAATATGATCACGAAGAATTTACTTCATCGCTGAACTGCCCATTACACATGGAGATCCCAGTAAAATTAAACAGTTGACAGTCGTAATGCGATATCTGGGTAAACAAAGACCTCGCACATTGGGACAGGTGAACATGGACGGCAACCTCAGACCGCGCGAGGACTCGACAGTGCATCCAAGCCATGATTTTTCCAAGCCATGCCAGCAATACACCAAGACACGGTCGATACTTGAGGCTAAAAATGGCCAGAGTTAGGGAACAAAGATGGGCTTATGCTCGCTCTTGACTTGATGCGATTGGACATCCCTTTCATATCGTGAGGAAAAACTCAATCTGCCTCCCCCCCCCTCCCCCAACCGACCGGTAACGAGTGCAAAGGGAAAATATCCGTACTTATTTCTTTCTCAGTTCGTGAGCGGGCGGTATTCTACAAATCCTGCGATCTGATTGGTTCCGAGAGCGGGCAGTATTCTCCCCATCCGGCCCGCTCACAGCGGGCGGTTCTTTTCGCAACCATTTGTTAGGTTTTAGAAAAAAATAAAAATGTTATTCACTAGCTAAGGTCGGTCCTTATTGGGAAAAACTGTGCCCTCTGTCTTGTGTACCGCCCTCAGGCGGTATCCAAGACCTCAGGCACAGTTTTTCCCAATACGGACCTCCCCTCTGGTGAAGAACATATAGATATATTTTCGCGCTCTACAAAGGCTATTGTGTTTATTATCCATGTTTACGAACAGCTTACTGTGTGCAGCGTGGGATGTTTTCTTTTGAGTGTTCTCTGGTACGACTTGAAGAACAGAAAAAGAGTTTCCTTTCCATGTAACAGCCATAAAACCCTCTCTCATCTTGAATTAAATTTCAAACGAAGACTTATCGTACTGGACGTGAGGTTTAAAAATTGGGGGATATCGCTGAGGTAATGTTCTCGGATATCAACCAGTTTTAGCTGGGGGCTATTAGATCACGTGCTCCGTTTATACCAATCGCGCCCGAGCAAAAATATTTGATGGATCATAACAAAAGATGTTAATGACCCATGCGGCTTAATAAGGCACATTTTTAACGCAAAAAAAAAATCCCCCTGTATGAAGGTAGCAGATGGCGCTAGCAGCACCAGAAAAAGCCGTCTGTCTATAGGTACATACGACTACCGTGAACCAATTGTCATGCAACGCATGGAGGAGGAAAACAATTACTATAAAGTGTTGACCTTTTAAGAAAAAAAATTTTATTATCCATTTCCTGGACTATAGCTTCTGTCACATACATGCCTTTGGCTCTTACTTTTGTGTTACCTCGTCTTTTAATACGCTTGACTAATAAAGCAGTCATCTAAAGAGGTTGTTTGTCTTAGAAGGGCTTTTAAGCCTTGACAGATTTCTTATTATTTTAAAGGTATCTGCAACAACTAGTTTTTTTGCGAATGTAATTCGTGTTTCTGACTGAGGGCGCCTTAGGTTCTCACAGAAAGACTTAAAATGGACACTCAATCAGGTGGGAGCATTTTATCTGCAGAGAGGCCCAAGGTTGAGTACTTTTAACTAGATGGAGCTTATCCAGCCAGCGAAAAGGTAATGACAGAAAACTGTCGCTTACTCATCATAAATCCCCATCACTAAGGAAATTATATTGTCATCAATACCACTTGGAACACATGACAATAGCAAATCAAAAATTGCAGTTTCAACCAGCTACAATTTCTCTTTGATATGTTTTTTATTACCTGTGCTATAATTTTATGTTGAATTATGACCGTGAATTTTAAGATGAATTTCCACGTTATCTACAATTTTTGGTAAAGAATGCTAGAATATTACCTAGAAACTACATATACCTCACGCTAACAGCTTAAATCTACAATCTTACTATAGTTGTTCTCATTGGAAAATGTTCTCTTCCATACTTGATCTCGTCTCAGGCCTTGCTTGGAGACAATTCTGGATGAAACGTCACAGCCTACGGAGTAAATGAACGTTTATTGGAGTGTCATCATGATTCTTGTGCACCATCAGCACTAATTTACCCGTTCGACTTAAGGATCACGCCTTTGATACCTTGGCAAATAATGAATGCACATAACACACAGATGGAGATAAAAAAGGTCTTAGACATATATATATCGGAAAGTTTTAATTAGGACTGAAGGGAAAGCCTAGTGATAACATAAAGACTGACATCTACCCTTTTAAAAGGTGCGAAACTTGGGGTGTTTGTAAACAAGCAGTTTCGCCAAAAGACAATCAAATGGTGCGCTAAGCATATTTCACGAGTGCAGAAAGCGATACGTATAGAGTCAAGAGGCCTGTGTTTTTTTTCCCGTGAACCGTTAATAAACCGCATATAAACTCGATTCCGTTAGGAAATTGAGTGCCATAAGTATTGTATACGTATTGTAACTTGAGGAAAACACCAAAAACATAAGAAAACCAAACAAGGAAACAAAATCACATAAACTTATCACGCGCCAGGAAAAGAATGATATGTTTGATTGACTGATTCCAATTTCTCTCCTTGACATAGAAACGTACTGAAACGTGTGTGATTGTGCTGGCTGTTTGAGAAGATTTTTGGTGTTAAAACTTACATTCCCCTCTTTAAAAATATGACACTAAGACTCCTGAAGCATTTCCTGGAACTTCTCAAGTTTGTCAATGATTTTTGTCATATCTGGTCTATCATCTGGGTTCGTTTGCAAACACTGGCGCACGAGCTCTTGCAGCGTTCGGTTTGACATCTTGTCGACTTGCTCATCACGCCTTTCAGGTTCTGGAGGTTCTTGAATGCACATTTCACACAGAAGAACACCAAAGCTGTAGACATCGATCTAAAAATTATTCAACAACATGACTAGGTAAAGATAAGGTCACTTCGAGTCGAGTATAGCGAGCTACCTAACATACGATAATTTTCTAGTGCCATTGACTATAAGCAGAACAGAAATACATTGTTTCATCCGCATGTGTTCCCTCTCCTTTTGAATAGATAGAATTGCTACAAAAAAAAACAAGATGAGCTTAAAGTACACAATTCAAATGATAGAGTGCAGTTATCATAAACTATTGGATCAACCCTCGTTCTTTTGTCTACTTAAGAAAACCCTGCTTTTATATTATCTATGCTCTCATACTGTTCACTATAATTTGGTCACTGCCGACAAAAAAATACCGGGTGCTTATTAATTAAATGGATCATTTAACTAATTCTGCTTTTCTGGCCAAAATAGAGTGTACATTGCCCACAAACCACTAGTAATGATACCTTCGCTGTTTGGGTCGTTGTACGCGCCTCAGGTGCACTGTACGCCAAACATCCTGGAGTTCGAGTCATGACTTGTTCTACAAATTTGGCAGTGCCATAATCGGAAACCTTTCCTCTCCATTGAACCTCTTGAATGCCTGTCTTCCGTCCGGCCTGTCGCCATAAAAACACATTAGCACAGTTGACGTCACGATGAATCATCGGTACAGGTCGTTTTCGGTGAAGGTAGTTCAGTGCCCGAGCCACATCCAGCGAAATTATGGAGACTTCTCGGATGGACAGAGATCTTTGATTCAAAAGTCGCCGTAGACTTGTTTCCATTAGCTCTGTCACCAGGAGAGGACAATCCTCGTCAATAATTGCTCCAATAAATTGCAGCAAACATGGATGGCGGCATTTTGAAGCCATGTCAATTTCACGCTGAAAAATTTTAAGTCTAAAGGGTGATGCAATCTCTTCGTGGATTCGTTTCACGGCAACAGCACAACCACAGTATCTGCCCTCATAAACCGTTCCCCAACCTCCAGACCCAAGACGCTTATCGGTCACTTGAACTTCATTACGGCAGATAATCCAATCATAGGAACTCTTCTCTCTTTGCGCCAGTTGTCGTTCCATCTCTCTCAATCGCTGGTTTTGGGCTGCCACTTGGTCTCTTTCCCGGAGCTGTTGCTGTTCCTTTTGCCTTAGTTGTGTTTCAACATTTGCTTTTTGACGACGCATTTCATCTACTTCCTGGGATTGTTCCGCTCGCTGTCTCTGTAAGATGGAAACTTCACTCTGTAACTGCTGAAGTTTACTCTGCAATGTTAAGTACTCATCATTTTTTCGCGCCACCTGGTTTTGGAAATTTTCTGATTGCCTCAAGAGGTTGGCCTTTTTCCTTCCTTTTTCTTGCAGTTGTTCCTGTAGATGTGTCAAATTCTGAGAGAGGTCTCCGGCTCCTTGTAAAAGGTACAAAGATCCAAATTTAGAAAATGAATGGGATTATGAATCAAGATCGAGACCCGAATATGTATGTTTTAAATTGAAAAATACAACATGAAAATTTGGAAATTTTATGGAATAGCTTTTTAGGCTTGCCCGGTTTTGCTTGTGTATTTGTATATTTCAGTCATACATTTTAACTTTCTAAACGGCTAAAGGAGAACTCATTCGAAAGTGGTGCAGGTCGGCATTAACTGGAAACTTTGAAATGTGATGAAATTAAGCCGAGCTGTTATCCTTCGTCACTCATTGTTGGAGTAAGTAAACTGAGTGGCACTTGTAGTAACATCCAATTGGATATTTATCTGCGTGTACCTTGACTGCTCTTAAACAGAGCACCTACATGAAAGTGGTTAGACGCCTCCGTTATACACGTGCCCTTAGGTCACGTAAAGGATTCTGTTTGATTAAACTGATAAGATGAACAAAAAATAACAATGATGAAGATTATGATGGGGATGATAAGCACTCTGTAACTAATGACAGTCCTGCACAAGAGCGAGCTGATATCGAAGAGGTGCGCGCCCTAAAAAAAGACACAGGCGACGAGAAAATCAATAAGTCATTTACGTAGTAAAAAACTAACCTGGCTAACTATGAAACAACGTACATGGGGCACTTTGGCTCAATAGTACATACCATATAGTGATCCAGCCGCCTCTGTCAGGATATTAGTCGCAGCTCCCGCATATTTGCTCAAGATTCTGATGATAACCTCGGCCTGAAGAGCAAAAACGTTATGCAATACATCAAAAGCTCGCAACTCATCGAGACATGCACTTGCGAGTCTTTAAGTTGTAATCTGTATTATAAATTAAGGATGTTTGTCTAAAGAAAAAAAAAATTTACCTCTAAGACAAGGGGTAAAACTGCACACAAAAAATTGGCTAGTAACGTCATTTTCAAAAATGGCCGATACTTTTGCAATAGTTATCCCTTGCAATCATCCTCAATCATCAAAGAGAAATCACCTGGAATACCTTTCCTCCGGTAGAACTTGGGCAAAGGAAGATAACTTTTTGGGGCTCAAAAAACATCACCAAAAATTATCTTTATACTTCTGAAATTACAGTGTCTGTAGATATTCTGGTCGGTCCACAGCCTTTTTTCTTAAAGTATAAAACCTTCACCGCTACGGTGAAAAGGAGAGATTTTGCGATTTTAACGCAACCTAAGTACCTAACAGATTGATACTAGTTATCGTAGAGACAGAACTACGCCAAGGGACGTCTTGGGGATCAAATCAAACTTATTGCCAAGTGATGGCTGTCAAACATGGCTCCATTCTAAGGCTATGTAGGCAACCCCTCTAGAATCCTTGGAACAAATCCATTGCTTTGACAATCTGAGCTTTCTCTACCTTAGCCCTATATAACTGAGCAATCTTTATTGGTTCCGATGAAAGAACCCCCATGAGTTCCAAAGCCTAGTCTTGCATATTGTTTTTCTTTAAAGAAGACAAGATTCCCAGTTTAAACTCGTCCATAAATAAACAGGCTAATTCCTAATAATTCAGCTAAATTATCACAAGGCCTCTTTGGTTTCACTTACTTCGGACTTGAAAGCATAAAGCGTACGCAGGTATGTAAAGGAGAGAGGTGAACAGCACACATAACCAAATACTGTTTTGTCATCTGGATCTTGAATAGTGCATATTATTTTCCATTCGGGACATGGACGCACTCCAACCTACAAAAATATAGTCAAAGAAAAACTTAGAACACTTCTAGAAGATGATTTCTAAGATGTCCAAGACGGCACCTCTTAAGAGAACTTAACTATGATTTTCTGAGCATTGTGTGAGATAATTCAAACAAGCAAGTTAGCCGCACAAATTTTGACAAAATAGATAGACTTTAAAAATTGACATTGGATTTGAGAACTGGTTTAAATTGTGTGGATAAAATTTATACAATATTATGATAAACAAATTCTAAACTCTGTTCTCTTACTCTATGTCCCTCTTGCTCTATCCAGACACCTGCAGTCTTAGTAATACATAGTTTACAAGATGTCTCCATGTATTCTGAATAAAAGCCTCCTGCTTGTGCCTACAAAGACGAATTACAATTTACAGCAACATTTAGCAATCAGACTGATTTATGCATGAAAAGTTGCAGCCCTTGCCAAATTTATATTCATGCATGTGATAAATGAACCACATGTACATGTTACAGGTACATAAACCCAGGTATGTGTGAGCTCCTAATGTTTACATTTACATATCAAATTTGATTGTTTTTACAAAGTTCAAAATAAAGGTGTGTTGTGGTGTCAGTGCCACCTTAATTCTGCAACAATGTAATGTATTTAAGGTGGCTCTGAACATACTTCACAGATTGTTTAAACTTCAGTTACAATGCAGTTTTGAATTCAGTGATTTTGCCTCACACACACTGAACATAATTAATAATACTAAAATTGCTCCAGTGATTATATAGATGTACAGCCTCTGATTGGTAGAGGATTACATCATATCTTGTTTGTGGTGATTAAAGCAGGAGCACTAAATTTCAAAATGGCTGCCTCAGGTTTTGTCAGTGTTACAGAAGAAGTGACGAACATGATAAAGAAAATTCAATTCCAAATAGCACAAAAGATGCTAGTAAGTTTGGAGTAACACCTTTCAAAAGAAAGACATGAAGTTTTTGCTGATTGAATTTAATAAACTTATCAAATTCCTAGATTTCAAAAGCACCTACAAGCAATTATACTAAAATAATTATTTACCTTATGCTCAGTGAATATCATACAACAATACTCACTTCACCTTCTGTGAATAATTGTTGAATGTTAACAAAACAGCAACATGTGAAGGGAGCTTAAAGGTAACTTTGAGTAAGGTGAACCGTAATATGCTGATTGCAATTAAATATTAAAAAATTGGCATTACCATTTGTTTCTTAAAAGTTGCAGACCCATAAATGTAAAATTAGGCATGTATCTAGCAAGCTGTATTGTTCCTGTCACATCATCATTAATTATTGAGAGAAAATTGATGGGCAGTGTTTGTGATTCCATTTATTAAGGGATTAGGAGTAAAAAAGTGTTGAAACACTGACCCATCAAAGAATTAATTATGAAACCATTTTAAGCAATTTAGCTTGAATAACAATATGTTAATGTGTTGTTACAGCTTTAGGATCCAACACGTTAAGGGTGTATTACCTTTATTTCCTTCAGAGGCTCAATGTACATAGCTTCCCTTCTGATGTCTTTAGTTCCTAGAAACTTTGAGAAGAATATGTCAAATTTACTCCAATCTTACATAATTCTTTTTGAGGGAATCTTGATCAGATTATAATTATAAGAGATCCATGATTACTTTCACAAAAATGTGGCAAGGTTTTACACTATATCTAAGAAAAAAACTAACATTTATTCTATCATAAAATCAAGTAGTTGGTGCAGTAAGTGTACCTTAGTGCAGTAGGTGTAGTTTGGTGCAGTAAGTGTAGCAGGTGTAGTTTGGTGTATTAGGTCTAAAGGGGGTAAGTTTCTAAAGAAACTGTGGTGCTGCATCATTGAAAGAGTATAGCAAGGTAAATTGATATTATTAACTGAGTTGATAACATAAATTGGCCACTGTTACGAGTTTCAAAGCTGACATTTGGAGCATTAGCCCTGCATCAGAGTGAATAAAGGAATTGTGGGTTGTGTGTGTCTTTATATGCAGAAAAAGGAGTTACGCTATTAGTGGGAACATGGTAACAAGAAAAAAAAGAATAAATCAGCTGGATGAAAAGTGTTTGTTGATAAACTTTTGTTCTAAAGTTTTGTGGCTTTCTGAACTGCTTAAATATATGGAGAGGCAGATATTACTTGATCAGAACATTGGTAGAATGGAGCAAATATTAAACAGCGCAATAGTAATGGAGGAGGGAAAATGCCCGAAAAATATACTGGAGGGGGGGGGGGGGACCCCCCAGGATTTACTGAGGTATGACACAATAGACATTTCTCTGGCCAAAACTTGGTGTCTGAACAATAATAGGTTTGAGTGAACAACTTGACCAGCAATAGCTGGAAATTATTTTGAGTTTTGCACATGATTTTGAGCTCACGGAAAGGGCGCTATATAAATTCTTGTATTATTATTATTATTATTATTATTATTATTATTATTATGATTTGAGAGCTTTGCCTCTGTGCTACTTTTATGAGGTGACTCAGTGATTATTACTCTATTTTATTAGTAAGTAATCCCTTGAGTTTTCCTGTGCTATTTGGAATAAATTTATGAGAACTGGTAAATTTTAGAAAATACCATGGGTATATTTATATCACACTCCAATTGGAATCATGTGATTATACCTGCACAAAGTACTTTACTTTATCTTGAGTCAACCACAGTTTACTCACCAGAGAATAATATAACAGATAATAAACCAAATGCTTTAAATCCATGTTATAGAGCAGTTAATTCATGAGGAGAGATATAATAATATCAATAACAATAATAACACTAATAATGGGTTTAATGGTGATAATTAAAAGGATAATTAAAATTATAAGGATCAAACCTGGCATCTGAATGTGAAGTCAGGTTTACCGGATGGCTCCTGAAACATAGTTGTTGCCCTTTCCTTAATCTTAGTAATCCCTGAAAAAAGAGGAAATCCAGGTTTTTAAAAGCAACATAAATGGACAACATGAAGGAGGAACACTTTAAACTTTGTGCTGGCAACAAAGCATACCTAGTAATTTTCAACTTTTACCTTGGAATCAATCAGCAAAGAAGTGACCAAAGAATTGCACTGCAGTCCTATTATCAGAGTTGCTGGGTCATATCACCCTAAGAATGTACTTATGACTCTATGCATTGGAAAACAACTATTTGAGGGGTTTACAAATTAAATTGACCACTCATGTACTAGCTTAGAACTATAACTTTGCTTATGCCTAAGCCATTTTGGTACTAATGTTACAGTAGTTAGCTTCCTTCTATTTACAACACTTTCATAGTGGACAGTGATTTTCTATAAGTCTCAGTGTAATGAGGTATGCCAAAAAACATATCCAGAGTGATTTCTTTGATGTTTGAGAAAAACATTTTGGCTTTCCCCTCAAGGATTTTAGTTGATGCAAGAATTGCAAAGATCAAAGACTCAAGCCAAAGTGCAACAAAACTTGAGTATCATGCTTGTCTCGTTTCCACACACAACATTGAAACATTGAAACCCAGCGACAGATCGCCCATTGTCTGAATTCAGTATTACCAAAAGCCTTTCAAATCCATTGGCATGGCGATGATTATAGGGTTACTTATCTAAATTTTTCACTGTATAAACTTTATTTTTCTTTGAGCTAACAGGAAGAATTGAGCTTTATAGCAAAGTGTAAATTGTTTTGTAATTAACTCTTTTTAAAGACAGACTATAAATAAAAGTTCTTCCGGCTTTTTGGCTTCTGTGGCCATTATAAAAGAAACCGTCATTATAGAATGTCGAGTGACAACTGAATCAGATAATCCATTGATGCTCTTCAAACAATGAAAAATATCATGATCAGCCCTCAATTACAATAGTACCAACTAGGAGAGGTGACTTACCGATTTCTTTGCTTCATAGAGGTCTTCCAAAGCAAATAGAGTGAAGTTGTGCGAGCTCTTGGATGGTTTTCTCTGCTGCGTAGAAAAATTACAGTTTTTTATACTTCAGCCAATCAAGTTCAAAAATTCAAATATGTAAGCTATACAATAATTTTTTCCGGGCTCTATAACCTATTACAGCGTCCGCTTGGAAACTGAATGGACAAATTAAACGATGCGTACGATGTTCATTAATGTTATCCCACAGTTAGAACAGTGCAGATCAACTTCTGTATGCATGACATTTCGCAGATATCGCGAGCGTATTGCACTCTGGGATCATCGCACCACACTGTGGGCTCGTTTACGGCCAGCGTTAACTAAGACGGCGGATGAGTGGACGAGGAATTTTGAAAAATTTGAAAGGTTTAAATTTAATTGTTTCCGTAGGTTTAAAACTGAAAGAAACACAAGAAGAATATTAGGAATTATAACCAAACCATTCCTCAATCGAATCATGAGAAGTAAATTTTAGAAGCCGGGTTAGTTCCTTCATTTACAAGACCCCGACACTCTGAAAATTGCCTGAGAAGACTCACCATCAAGCCTACCTGATATTATTTAGAGTGGAGCTGAACACTTACGTATTTACACAAAATGAAAGGACAAAAACTCAATTTAGTTGCATTGTAGAAGAACGACAGCAAATACGCTAATATTTTAAAGTTTCCCAAGAACTGATTACGAACTGATCAGTCGCTCAAAGGGAAAGGGAAAGCAATTGAGAATGTATACTGTTGATCGATACAGAAAAATTAAGTAGTATCTTAGATAAAAGAGATGTTGAAAAAAAAACTCTCTTCTGCCACTCGGCCTCGTTCCTAAGCGGTTATCGTGAAACTTGGAGACCCCAAAAGTGAGTTGCTTTCCGCTTTCTGAGAACCGGACACGAGGACGTAGCTAGCAAGGGGGAGGAATATGCTAGCGCCGTACCGAACTGAATTTTACTCTTGAGATGAAGGGTTTCATGCAATCTTATGGTGTTCTCCGTCGCCAGTGTTAGTGGTTGTGTAAATTAGGGATGCCTGTTTGCTTCAACGGGTGTGGAAATCCATTCTCAGTCATAAGCATAAGGGCTGGAAAGAGAGCAGGTGGGTGCCTGCCTTCTGGCAAATCGCTCATAATTTGAAAATTATAAACACTTAGAGAAAAACCTCCTAATATAAAGTTGCTGACTTTAAAGTTTGACTTCAACCCAAATGATATGCCAAATGTGAAGTATTCTACGTTAGCTCTTGTTTAAAGTGTTTACTGAAAATCCAGGATATAGTTTACAATTTTCTATCAACAAAAACGACTACAGCACTTACGAAGGCCAAATCTTCCCTCTTTTCTGGTGTCTCGGTAAAGGGCTCTTTTCAATCACTGTCAAGCTTTAATCTCTTCAATCATTGACTTCGCCATGAGTTGACCGTTGGACAATCATATCGAAACAACTTACTTTCTTCAGGATTCATTATGTTTTCATTTCAAAAAGAGATGTTTTGCAGTCCTCTTAATAAAATTATCACTATGTAAATTTCTCACTGTAAAAGTATTCTGGGAAGGAAGCGATTTGGAGCAGACGAAAGAAATCTTCTTTTTCAATATTTAAACAACTCGGCAGTGGTTTAGCATGGTCTGTTCGCTTATCGTCAACGGTAATCGTCATCTCAGTGGCCACAATAACGACGTCAAATGAAACGATTCTTTAATTGCGTGACCATTGCGTGACAAGTGGACGCGAGCGGCGTTGTCTTTACTCTCATCGACAACAGCAAATTGGCCGATCAGATCGCGATATTACTGCTAGTTATGGTTAAATAAGGCTACAGTCATCGATATTCCAAAAACGGCCGCCCCTACTACCATGGAAAATCAAACTTACAAGCACTGCGAGCAATGGAAAGAGCGCAACATTTGTTTGTAGTTTCGCGATATGAAGGACGCGAATCTTAGAAAGGAAGCATTAAACTCTATGTTTGGGCACAGAGAAAGTAGGCATTAAACTTTATATTTGGGCACTTAGTTAACATGCACAGTAATTTGATTTTTAAGTTTTAGTTTCAAAAATGAACTGATTCCTTTTTACACTTTAACTTAATTGCGTAAGAAATGTTTTAGATGAGTTGTACATACTTTATGTCATGCCAGGCTTATCATTACAAACTAGAATTTCTTCGCTTCATAGCAGGTGGTTATCATGTAAGATCACCTTGGTACGAGCCTGACACCTTTTGCTGACGACTGAGGTCTTTGGTTTTACGTCTAAGTTGATTTCAAGGATAACTTGCAGAGCTGCTATCTTATTAAGTTTTGTTTCCCTCACAAGAACAAGCTTAACTACTCTTACAAGGATCTAAGGGTAAACAACTAAACATATTGCTTTCGCCATGCAACAACAACTATTGAAAAAAACATGAACGATCTTTTACAGATGAGGATCAAAATTGACAACATAAGTGCTTATAGAACTGAAGGAAATAAGATATGGCCAAATTAAAAGTTATGAGCAAATAAGAAAGCTCTGAAATTCTAAGTTCTACTGATTTTTGAGAGAAGACCACAGAAATTTTGTAGATAGGACGAGGGGAAGAGCTTCTATTTTGCAATTTCTTCAGCTGCAGCTCACCTGCAAAGATTAGTTCTTTTCATTGTATTTCATCCTCGGATCAAAATATTAGTTATTTCATTTAATATAATCCTCTACGAGAATAACAGTGCCACTAGAATTTGCAATAATTCCAACCTGAGGATCCGCAGCTCAATTGGTTATAGCGCCCGGAAGTGCTCGGGTTCGAATCCTATCAAAGTCTGAATTTTGCAAACTTCTTTTCTTGAATCTCTTTACTGATGTTCGCTTGCAAGGATCATGTCTTTACTGATTTGTTACTTTGAACGCTTAGATCAGAGTCACTTATTGTGGATTCTGATGAATAACCACTACTCGGTTTTAAAACAAATTTTTCTTCTGGAAATCTGGTCAGTAACAAGGCATAAGTGAACAATTGTCATTTTTGGTGAGAAGTATCATTACTGTCACTTTTCACGAAAACACTGAGTCGCATAACATCGTGAGGTATTTTTACAGTAAATGATCTGAACCCAGAAGGAACAGGTTAGAGAAGTCCTAAAAGGATCTTTTCCAGTGGACGTTACCATCGTTTCGACACCCTGGGTGGAAGTCATCACCAGAGTCTTCCGCTCAGCTTGTTAAAGGTCATTCCTTGTCACCAAGAGCAATCCATTCAGTACCGCTCTCACCCAAACGACCAGAACACACGAAAAACAAAAACAAACAAAATGATAGCTGTATTTAGTCCAACCAAACCAACACACTGCAAATATCTTCACAAAAACTTCTATCGACGTACGAAAGTTTTGTAATGAAACGTTAGGTAAAAAAATCATAATGATACGTTATTACATTTGCAGACGATAAATAAGTCTGACAATAAGATTGATGATTTACACTGAGAAGGCTCAGTCGGGCCTTTCCATGCCAAGCCTGATTTTATCGATTAAAGCAGGTGCCTGAAAATGGACTCTTCATGACTCCTTCTTCGTGGTATCGGAGTGTGCCTTCTTTCTTTTACGCTTCCGCTTAATACACACCAAACGGACGCTTTCATCTAAATCCTTACGAGATCAGCATGTAACTACCTAGGTAAGGAATGATGGAAAGCTGAACACGCCTAGACAGAAAAATTCTACAAGGTTTTCAGAAGATACATCCGTACACTTAAGTTACATCGGGAAAGATAGAGTTTTCTTTGCAGGATCTTGTTTGTGATCGTCCGGTACAGCAGCAATACTGCAAACCATACAGACAACATTATGTTTGAAGTTGATTAGAAAACTCTATCAAAAGGTGCCTTGCACTTCCGGTTCTATTTCATTAATTATTTCTTCCATAGTTGGTCTGGCTTGAGGGTCTGTTTCCAGACATCCTCGGATAAGAGCTCGAAGCACATTGTTTGCCAACATTGCTACTTGTTGTTCTCGTCTTTCAGGATCTGGTAATTCACGGATGGACATCTCACAAAGAAGTACACCAAAACTGTAGACATCAACCTGACCACAGAAAATGAAGAAATAAATGACAGCACAGAGAGATGCAACATCGTGCATGCTTTTAAGGCTATTGTGGGAAAATTCCTAGAATAGGCGGAATATGAAGAAAGTAACTCTTGCTGCATGGGAATCTCATTAAACCAACGCTTTTAACGGCGAATGCAGTAACAGAGATGATTCGTTTTTAGCCTTTTCCCAAGAGATCCCCTCCTGCACTTTGAGGTGAGGGAGGAAACAACATTCAAGCATTGTTTCCTCTCTCACTTTAAAGTGTCTTTGAGCTTCTAATAAGGTTAAAAAGACTCAGGCCAGTAACCGTCACTGTTATCTATATTTCACAGCGAAGGCACTTGCCCATTATCGAACAAACTATGAATTAGTGAGACAACTCTTACTTTTCAGATTATTACTTTTGAAAAATGTCTTTTACATATAAGAGCACCATTTCTATATGAGGAAAGCAATTTTTTCGACTGGTGGTTCAACTTTGGAAAGATTTAGTTCCAAAACTGAGGTAAAAAAGGCGGCCATCGTAAAGAAGAGAACTACCCGGGAAAAAATGCCCAGTTACAAAGAAAGGAGGCTTATATATTACTTTCCATCAAAATGTTACGATGTCTAAAGGTATAGTACATAAAATAAATTGGAATAAAAAAGTACGAATAATCTCATCGAGTCAAAAAAGTGAATTAAGATCATCAATCTGAGCTAACCTGGACTGTTTGGTTTGTAGCGCGTGCTTCAGGTGCACTGTAGATTAAAGCCCCAGGTGCAACTTTCATGGTCTGTTTTTTGAAATTAGCAGTGCCATAATCTGACACTTAAGCTCGCCATTGAGTACCTAGTCTCCAGAGCAACACATTTACACTGCTAATGTCACGGTGAAGAATAGGGATGGGGTGTTTTTGATGGAGGTAGTTTAGTCGTCGAGCCACATCCAGAGCAATAACGGGGATTTCTGTCTGTGAAAAAAATCTTTCTTGTAACAGTGCTCGCAAGCTTATTTCCATGACCTCTGTAGGAAACAAAGGTGTGTGTGGTCGTCGTTTGTTGCTCCAATGAATTGCAGTAAACAAGGGTGTCGACATCTTGAGGCAATGTCTATTTCTCGTTCAAACAACTTGCGGTTGTGAGGAGAAAGAATCAAATCATGTATCGTTTTCGCAGCAACGACACAACCACAGAGCCTTCCTTCCTTCCTCTACCGAGGGAATTAGTCGTCAGCTGAATTTGATTACGAGGAATAACCCAGTCTGGTGATCTTTGAGCCTGATCGTCACGTAATATCTGCTGAGCTGTTGAAAGGCTTCTTTCTAGTTCATTCTTTTCCCGGTCTTTTACTGTCAGCTGTTCTTCTAGCTCGCCAACCTGTTGTGCCGTAATTCCTAATCGTTCTTGCAAAGCAACAGTTGCTCTGTCTTTCTCTCTGATCTGAACTTGAAGATCTCTCAGTTGCTGATTCATTTCCCTTAATCGCAATTCCGATTCAACTAATTTTTGCTCTTTCCTCTCCAGCTGCTCTTTCATTTTGGTCTTCAGCTGATGCATTGCACGCAGGTTTCCGTTTTGGCGATCTCTTTCCTTAAACAAGTTAGCCTTTTCCGACTCTTTCTCCCTTAGTTGTGCTTTTTGGTATAAATTCTTTTCCTGTCTAATTTTCTCTTCCAGTTGTTGATTTTTTGTATTCAAGCGAGTTTGGAGGTTTAGATTTATCCCTTCCTTCTCTCGCAACTGGTCATCTTTTTCCCTGAGCTGTTCCTGTAAGTTGGATAAACGAGCTCTCATTTTCTGTAGCTCGGTCCGGTTCTCTAGCGGAAAAAATCGACAGCTTCTTTTACTTCTGGAAGTCAAGAAATGTACTGAATTCACCACAGCTCACCCACTTGAGAAATTCTCGTGCTCAGTGAAAGAAGATCCTCGGCTGCATGCAAATGACCTCTATCTTTGTTAAAGTACGTGCCAACCAGTTACTACTGGCCACGGTTAGAGATTCCAAAGACTGACCGAACTAACCTGGTACCTAGATCCTACCGTTTAACTGTAACTAAAATGTAGGGACCACTCAACTGATTGGCCGTGAAAAGTTTGGATACAAGACTATGACCGAACCTAACAGAAGTTGCCTTCAAATTGAGCTCATACCCTTAATAATAATAATACACATGAAAAAATTGAGCGCATCTGATTGGCTGAAAACGGATGCATTTTTCATGCAATACGAGTGCAAATTACAAGAAGAAGCAAGTTATTCCTATTTCAGCTCGTGCAGTGCTGCTCACTATTTTACCATTTTTCAAAAAGTTCCATATAGTAGAGACACGTGTTGTTTATCAGGCGTACTTTCCTCTACGAAAAGGTACAGTTTACGCAGTAAGATAACAGTAATCTCTCGCACGTTTAGTGCGTGTTACAAGCTAAAGAGAGTGGACTGAAAAAATAGAAGAGAGTGGACTTCTTCATTGGAAAAAATGACTCTAAACTGCTAATGATTATGATACGGACGAGCTAAGTCGAGTGGAGTACTTGCCTCAGAATCACCTCATTCTTCAAAAGAGAATGTGATGATCAGTAAGATCGTTGGAAGTGTAAAATTCCCTCAACTTATCAGTCATTGTCAGTCAGTGACAAACTTACTTTCTCATGAACACACCATTAAAACATCATGCAATATAGCATATAACATGGTAAGTTTAAAATAAGAATTGAAATATGGGACCTGTACATACGAGTTATGTTGAAATGCATATTTTTGTGGAACAGTCTTGTTACAGTAGTTATAATCATTCAACAAAATCAATGGTTCTGCAGTCAGTACCATTTGATGAATTTCTGGTGACCTGCTCCTTTGCTGATCAACCCCATTGTCTAAGAGTTACTGATACCTCAAAAAGTTCAATAATGGAATCAATTATGACCTTTGCCTGAAAGAAAAAATAACACATGCTTAGAATAATTAATAATTGCAAGTGCTTAATAAGCAATATTTAAGATTAAATGTTACGAAAATTTTCATTTGCATGAGTGAATTGGAAACTAAAAATTTGCAGCCGAGAAGTCTTGCAAGCCTTCAAATAAAAGTGCACTATTGTAAAGTAGATTTAAAGTACTTTTCCTCTTGAACAAGATATAATTTGCATAGTTCCCTGACAAACATTTTCCTCCTCAATGATTTCTTTTCAACAGGAAATGCTACTCTCAGAGAGGCACAAAAACATATGCAATAAATTAACTGAAACAGGAATTTTTGGGTAGCTCAATATTTGAAAATTTTTTTTGCTGACTCAGAAGTTCCTTGAATTATTAAAAAATTGAATTCAAATGTCATACAGAAAAGAGAATGTAGGAAAAGGAGATTAGTTCATTTTTAGATGACTCAGAATTCATTTGTATCTCCATTTGTATTGTCATAATTAGATATGAAATACATTCCCCTGCGTATCTCTTTGAACAGTAAAAGACTTGGATACCTTTTCCATATAAAGGGTGATGACATATGTATAAATGAAACCAACTATTAGTTACTGTTTATAAGGTAAGTCTACTGTCAAGCCCATGGCCGTTGTTGCTGAAGCTTGATACAGATGCTCATTCCACTTTCATGAGCATATAACATAAACAGGGATACTGCATGCATCCTTACCCTAGTTGAATCCTGGGCCATAATAGTTGTCCCAGTGCAGCAATTTGACAGCTAAGTTAATTCTTTAGCAGTTTTCTAATACCCTCCATATGTTCCTCAGCAGAGAGAGGCATTGGGAGAGTGAGACATCAGATCCCATTCACAACAAAACATGGTGAACAAGACATGTCTCAAACCAAGACCATGCATCATGTCTCCTACAATTAGCCTATGCATTTCCTGTAATTCAGTCAACAAAGTAAATAATTTCTTTAATTTCTTACATTTTCTGACTTCAGAGCATAGAATGTATATCCAGTGGAACAATCAGGCTGACTGCAAACATAACCAAATATTTTCTTATCATCTGGGTCATGATCAGGAGTGACAAATGATATTCTCTTGACAGGATGCATATGCTGCACTTTCCAAAAACAAATAAATGAATCAGTAAAACCTATAAAAACACAACAAAAAGTACTGAGATGGAAGGGGCACCTGGAGATTTAATCGTATCTTTCCCTTCTGCTGATCAGCCCTTCCATTGTTCAGTACCCTCAAGCTATTTTTGACTTGAGTGGATAAATGAAAATATAAATAAGTAAATGGATAAGTCAATGAGTAAATTGATAAAGAAAACATAATGTAAAATTTAACAAAACATTTGAACCATATACTGCTCCTTGAAAATTCTCTTTGGTGATTAGATGGAAAAAGTGAAAGCAATATTTGGATGAGATTTAAGAGTTAACTTATTTCATATTTTTTTGATAAAAAAATATATTGGATAAGATTTAGAGATAGAAATATACTGCATAGTTTTACTTGGCATTTTGATTCCCCAATCTTTTTAAAAAACTCTTTTTTCCAAAATTTGAGTTACACACTCATGGGTGCAGCTTATATGTCACTGTGTCTCTGGCAATCACATGGTGGTTAAATAATATATAGATTTAGCCAAGCCCAAAAGCGAAGCTTGCATTTTTTTTCCCAATGCCTCGCCCAGGTCGTCCGACACGGAGCCCAGTGCACTGACCACGGGACTACTGGACAAAGCCGTGGCGTTGGCGTGCCCGTGGTACAGTTGGCCACGCATGTTGCAAGTAGCACCTTGTACGGTCGCACGGTCCTATGGTTGTACATCCAATTTTTTCGGCTTGATGGGTTACTACTAATCTGTATAATTATGGGGCTATGCTCTGTGAGCTCCGCTAATATTTGACTTATTTGCACACTTACTTGAGTAGTCTCATCTTCTATCCTGATACCTTCCAACTTAATAGTCAGTGTCACCCTCTCTTTGTGCTGCCCCTTTTTCTTTGCCTGAGCCTAGTGTAAATAACGATAATAATAATAATAATAACAATAAGAAAAAGAAGAAGAAAAAGCAGAAATCAGAAAATAAGAAAAAAAGGAAACAGACACACATTATTACTAGCTTGCATTCCAGGACTGAAAGGATTATCATGTTACCAGAAGGATAAGCAAAAAGATACTGCTGTGCATTGGGGTAAGGCAATAGAGAAGGGGCCAGATACCAAATTGGGCTGAATGAATGGCAGTTTATGACAAGCTTTCATGATCAACTATAGGCAGTATCAATTTGTCATATTGTCAGACTTGCTTGTGGTAAGTACACTGAGAAGTTTTTATTACTTACTGGTAAGTTATAATAATACAATTCAGGCAGTTTTATCATGACATGTTCAAGGAATAACACAGCCTATAATTGTCATGTTTTAGAAATATAACACAACTTATAACTGCCATTATGGCAAAAAATAAATTTGAGCTTTGATTCAAGTTCATGAATTTACATGACTCATGAACAGGTACACTGCACCTTTAATTTCCTAAAAGCCTCCGCACACATATCCCCACCCTCTGGGCTAGCGACATCTGTTATCCCTACAAGCTTTGAATTAAAAGTAAGCAAAACAGTGTTAAAATAGTTTTAAAAAAATTAAGGAAAAGGGGGAATTTGACTTATAAATTGGCAAAATCAGTAAAAACTGCAACTGAAGAATATTGTTCAGACCTTGCAGTGAAATTTGGTTCCTTCTCCACTGGTTCCCATTTTCTTAATAACAAGAAAAGAAGAAAAAAATCCAAATTTAGCACCAGAAGCATCAATATGAAAACTCCAATTGTATTCTAATGCACAAAAAATAAGAACACTTAGAATTAATGCCATTAAGCACAAAGTAAATTTGCCTCTAATTTGTGGGCAAATTGTTTTACATCTAACCATGAACCCATCATGGCCTTTAGACTTAAGACTGCCCAAAAGCAAAACTTATATGGGAATTAAACAATTATGATTTTACAGAAAATGGCTGTACATGTAGTCTTACAGGGTCCTATATTTGAGTTTTAGTTTTATTCAATCAGTAATATTAAATCCCTATCTCTCAAGCAACAGTTTTACCTTCCTGGACTCATCCCTTCCACCAAGTCAACAAGTGAAATACTCAATCATGTCCAGGGTTTCCCCTTTGGATTTCCAAGGACTTGTTTCCAGTTTCTACTATCATAGTATCAATGACAGTCTTGACACTATTTCCTGTGTTAAATGTTTAGTCAAAGCATGGCTTAAAAAACTAAGGGCATCAACCTGGAAGAGATATTTTTACTCCTACTTCACCATGAAATGGACTGTGCCATATATTTTTGTTGTGTGTGCCACCAGATCATTAAAAGACTTAAACAGTTATAGTAGAAGCATAGCTGCCTCATCAAATTTCAAGAAACGGGTGAAATAACGGTTTTCTTCCCAGCTAAATTTTAAGACTGATTTTCCTTTTAGAAGAATTTTCCAGGGGTGGATCCAGGATTTTGAGTGAGTAGTTTCCACCTGAGGACCCACTCCCGCTAGGGGGGTTTGGGGGCATGCCCCCCCCCCCCCGAGAAAATTTGAAATTTGGAGCTCTCTAAAGGCCATTTCATGCATTTTTAGAAAATTTAATTGCCCCCAAAAGACTAAAAAAGCATGTAATCAAAAAGGCAAAAAACATTTATTTTTCTTGAAAGTACTACAGGAAACACTCTGATCTACAAATATTCCACCTTTAGCTACTGTGCAAACCAGTGTATATAGTGTTTTCAGGAAGGCCAAGTCATCACCAAGACTTTTCACACTGGAAAACATCACCTTCCAGTCAGGAAAATCAAGATGTGGAGAAAAAAAAGCGAACCAAGTGTTAGTGTTTTTGATAACAAAAGAAAAACAAGCACAATTGATGATATAGTTTAAAGATTGATAATAAAAATCTACTTGCCTTTTTCATCCTTGGGACCACAGGCTTACCATCCATAAAGCCCTTCTCTCTCTCAAATTTCTTCTGTGTTGTGCTCCTATAATGAATGAAATGAATGAAAGCCAGGCTCAATAAATCCAAATGTTTAGCAACACTAAAAACAACATTTCCTGAGCTGGCTTTTATTCATTTCATTTATAGGAGCACAACACAGAAAAGAATTTGAGAGAGAGAGAAGGGCTTTATGGATGGTTAGCCTGTGTTGGGAGCTGGAATTCAAAAAATAAAACAATTATTAGAAAAATATAAATTATAAGAATCATAAAATGATATACAAATTGAAGTAAAATGATAATTTGAAATAATACTAGCCTTTCTTCATCCTTGGGAATTGCTGTGAAGCTGGTTGAGTTCAGTGAAAATGTTTGTTAACCATTTAAGCTTAACATGAAAACCCAATGTCAATGTCAATGGAAAATCATCACAAGTAAAACAAAATAGAAAATAACCTTGAAATGAGTTGAAAAAAGTTATACAGGCACCAGTTTGAGCTTCTGTACTGTTCTCCATCAGTTTAAGGATTATGAGACTTAAAGGCCATAACCCAGACAGAACATAACTCACAAGTACTCTAGAAACAGCTGGTGCAAAAAATTATTACAAAATGTTTGCCATTCTCATTCTCCTAGGATGTAACTCAGCAAATAAATCTATTATACGTTCAAGGTCAAAATCCATGTCTCTGTGGGCATGCATCAGTGCCAATCCATTCAGTCTGTCCTGGGTCATTGTATTTCTCAAATAGTTCTTAAGATTCCGAAGGGATGATATGGATCTCTCACAAGATGCAGATGAAATTGGAATTGTGATCAGGACTTTCAGCATGGAATAGATGTTGACATATGCATCTTTGTCAATATTCTTCAGTGTAGCCTCCAAACTGTCAGGAATAATATCTCCTCTGTTATCCCTCCCCTTCCACAATCTCTCCCATAACAAAAGCTCTGCCTGTAATCCTG